GAGGTAATCCTGCAACTTTCACACAGTCTCGCAGGCATAGGGCAGCAAACTTCACACGCCCTCATTCCGCAACCAACGCAAGGAACAAGAGGGAAACCAGGCTCAGGGATTCTGCTGCACTTTGTGCACCTGTCCCGTCCATCATCTCCCCTCAAGGCTTCAGGGAGAAGACCACCATCTCCCTGCCTACCGGCACCACTCACACTATAGCCGAGGCTAAGACCCGGCCCAAGGTTACCACCGCTCGCAACACTTGAGGGGTAACCTGTGGCATTGCTAGACTGACTAACGCCAGCGCCAACCCCTTGGTGACTAACGCCACCTCCGTAGGCAGGACCATAGAAGCTGGAACCACACTGATTGTTCCCAATTCCATGGGCATCCGCAGCACTACCGTGGAACCCAGGCGCTCCACCAGGGTAACCCCCGGTAGGAGCCCCTCCACTCGGGCCTCCAGAAGGCCCAGCGGGATCTTGGCCTCCACCATAATGTCCAGGACCTGGCGGTGGAGCTGGGGCATGTCCAGGCCCACCACTTCCGCTTCCACCTTGACCAGGTGGTCCGCCTTGCCCACCACCTCCCCCGGGAGGAGGAGGAGGGGGCGGTCCAGCTTGAGCGCGTTCATGCCGAATATTGCAGCGTGCACATCGCTCAAGGCCGTCATTTCCGAAGTAACTGTGATTCTCACAGACGTGAGTCCCACAATCCGTGCAGAGATACATGGAGACCTCCTGAGCATTCTTGCGGCATGCCCAGCATTTCATCTTCAAGAAATGACAATTGCAACAGTCCCCATCGTCACCACGGCAAAGCCCGCAGAACTCACGACTGCATGTCACACACGAGAATTCAGCATTCGGGTGCCTACGGTCGTTGGGATCATCAAGGGCACAAATCTTCGGCGCGTCTGGGCCATCACCGCCGGGAGCCCCTCTTGCAGCCGGCGCTGAGGCCTGTCCACGATCCGAAGGAGCTCCAGCAGTCCCTCGCCTATCGCCGGGACTCTGGTTGTCGGCGCTGACTCTGCTCCCAGGAGTCCTCCACTCATCACCAGGACTCTGGATGTCGGCATGGGCCCTATTATCCCCACCACCCCCTGAATGACGACCTGGGTTCGGAGAGACGTTCCCGCTATCGCGGATTGGCCTATCAAAATTCGGAGAGACGCTCCCGCTATCGCGGATCGGCCTCTCCCCCCTCGGTTGTCGACTCCGGACCTCAGATCCCTATCGGGGACGGCAGCAGGCCTCGGGCTCCTATTCCTACCCGCATCCCTATTGGGGGAAATAGAAACGTCCCCCCTTGCGCGCGCGCGGGGACCACCCCTTGCACGCTCCGGTGGCGAATGCGACCTGTCAGGCAACCCCCGAACCCTCCTGCTCCTGCTGTCGGACCTCTCCCTAACGGGATAGATGGGATGCCTGTCTGCGCGAGAAGGATCGACCCTATCGGGCACATTCGGCAAAACATGATCAGGCAAAACAACGCCTTCGCCTGGTCTCACCGGCAGGCCAGTACCCCGGCCGTCACCTTCCCCTGGTGTAGGCGTCGGTGACCTGATCCTATGTCCTTGCCCCGCAAACGCATGGTAACCAACATTCCGTCTTTCTCTGGGTTGTGGAGGAGCTTCATTAATCTGCTGGACACCCTGAAGCATGCCAGCAGCCTCGTCAAATTGACCCTCCATTTCAAAGAGCTGGGACATGATTCTGTTGTTCGCGGCGCTAAGGTTACGCACGTTACCATCTATAGCGCTGACTCTCCGCATAACACCTTCAAGTGTACTCCGGAATGTGCCGAGCTCTCGCCTAACGGCAGGCTGCACTTGGTCACTGCTGGCAGGAAGATTACGGATCTGTCCTTGGATGCCATCAACGACCCGATTCACAATTGCCGATCTCGCTTCATACTGTTCAACATGTGACTTCACGGTTTCAAACCTCGAAATGATGTCATCATGATCCCGACGTTGACGTTGAATTCCTCGAGCCAGATCATGCATCTTCCGATTGATCTCGTCAACAGCCTCATGCCAGTCCTGCGGGGAATCATGCCCTGATGGTCTATCGACCTCCTGAGATCCCCTTCCACTTTGCAGTCTAGACACTCGATTAACAAGACGAGTGTGCTCTTCTTTGACCCCTTCCATAGATTCAGAGGCCCACTTAGCAAACTTCTCGTGTTCAAGGAGAGCATCCCCAATCTTCAGGTTTAACTCCCTGAAATTCGCGTCAACTACACTGCTGCTGGCCCTATCGGACAGATTCGCGACAGGATTCGGGTTCCATACACCTGCCGGTGTCCGCATCCCAACGGTTTTCTCTACCGAGAACATCCGTTTCTCAAGCTTGTCCAAATCCTTAAGGGTCTCGTCCTCAGAAGCAGCATGGCTTCTGCGGGCAGCCTCACTATTTTCCTGAATCATCAGGCGAAGCCGATCAGTCGATGCCTCATTGTCCCTGACAGATTCATGGACCTCGTGGGACAGTAGGTTAATCCTCTGCTCCACGACCTCGGCTTGCTCATCGATGGCTTGCCTCACAATGGCCTTGCTATCGGGAATAACTTCCCTCGCGAACCGTTGAACTATCATTCGCATCCTCCCGGCATCAGATTGGGTCGCAACCTCAGCTGCCAAGCGATCGACCTTGTCCTTTGTCCGTTGACTCTCGTCGCTCCATTCCCTTCGCATGGAACTCACCTGACCGTTCAGTACCCTGATTTGGTCAGCAAAGATGTGGAACGCCTTCGCGACTGAGCCGGAAACCTCACCTCTCTCGAGCATCTCCTGGATGTGCAAATCGAACACCTCCTTCGCCCTAGCGTCAGCTGATTCGCCGGAAGACTGAGATCTGAGGGCGGGAGGAGTCGATATCTCGATCCTCTCAGGAGCCCCACTAGCCCCGGCATGTCTTCCGGGGTCATCCACGGGACAATCATCAATCCTGGATGGTCTACTCGGGGTAGATCCCCTTCTCCGGCTATCGCCAGATCGAGGATCAATGTTGGATGCACGTGACTCGGGGGTGGAGTGGATGTGAACATCAGCGGGATCGGGCATCTCCTCATCCTGCGGAGTTGAATCCATTGGTGAGGGGCTAGCCCTCCTCGCCTTTGACCTATCGGTCTCAGCGGCGAGAGGTGGCGGTCTCTTTGCAGAAACACTACGTTCCCTGGCAGTCGAACCCCATTGAGGTGTGAACTCATTGCTTGACCTCAGAGTTTCAAGATCACTGGTATCTCGCCCTAACGGGCTAGCGATCGACGGACGATCTTCGATCCCGAGTGCATCGGCAAGCCGACCATCTCTGGCACCTGTCCCAACAACATCGGCAGCCCGCTCAGTGATCCTCGGTGAACCAGTAACCCGGTTCGAGCTCACGTCTCTCTGACTCAACGGACCTCCAAATGTGATGTTGGGAAAGGGGGGAACATTCGGGGAATCACCAATAGCCGGGGGACCTACCGGTCCCTCGCGGTCATGAATGGCCTCCAATCCCCGAAGAACTTCCCGACTTTCCCTGGCTCTCTCTCTCTCGCTTCTGGCGTCCCTGTCAACACGAAGGTCCCTGACGGCTCCACGAGAGAGGCTCCTGGGCCTCGCAGCATCACGGATCCTAGCATTTCGTCGTGGTTGGTCCTCCTCCTCATCACGGCGATCCGCAAACGCGGCATACTCGTCATCATCATCGACCTCAAACTTGGCAGCGGCGGGATTAGTCCTTGCAGTCTCACGGCTGCCTGCATCTCGGCGCGAATGGCTCTCCTCCTCATCCGCAAAATTGTAATCTTCGCCATCATAAGACTCAGATTTGGCAGTATTAGGGTTGGGCCTACCGGCATCAGACCCCTGCTTTGAGCTACTGCCCCAACCTGCGGTTGATCTCAACAGATCATCGTATCCGAAGTCCGTGAATTTCCGCTCCTCGTGCTCATCAAACTGACCTGGATTCTGAGAACCAGTGGATCGGCCCGGGATACCTCCCGGAACCAGAACCATAGTCCCTGGTCCCTGCGGCCTACTCTCAAACTCATCCGAGACCTGCGACTCACCTGGAACAAGAGATCTCGGAGGTCGAATCGGCATGGCCTCCGGGTCATCCGAATGAGGGCGGGCCATGTCCATCGCCATGCTGGTGAAGTCAAAATGTCCACGCCTGTGACCTGATTCAGAGCCACTCCTATCGGAGTAAACCCTTCGTGTCCTGCTCGTCATCAGTGGCCTGGCGGAAAATACGATCGTCTCCATCGTCGGCGTACCTGCCACGGCCCCTGGGTGTATCCCTACCGGGATCTTCACCCCTGCGGTCCTGACCTGTCGAACCTGCTTCGAAATCCTCGTAGTCATAGTCCGGCAGGTCCTCACCTGAGCGGAGGCCACCTAGGATGGCCTCCTCATCCACGACGCTCCTTCGAGATCGTGGGGTCGACATAGAGCTTGTAGTTGATGGTCTCAAGCGCGTAGGAAAGTCCTACGGCTGATAACCTGTGATTCGGGCACGAGCCTGTGCCCAGGCAATGGGTAAGTTGGGGTAAACAAGCCACAAAAGAAAGGTTCCCCAAAAGCAAACCAATCCCCGGTCCCAAAGATCAGGGTTTCCCACACACCAGAGAACAACAACCAAAGGAAAACAAACCAAACAAGAAAAGGGTTAACCCGCAACCTTGGTCGACAACAGGCCGCACGACTGGTCCCTACCAACCTGGCGGCGGCCCGAGGTCTCTTTCTCCCCCGAGATGCCGTCGGTCGACGCAGGGGTTCGGCGACGCCCATTCGAGGCGCGACGGAACCCAAAACTTGAGCCAAACACCACAGGTCAGTCACTACCGCGACATCCCTGGTGATGAAATAAACCATGGCTAATCACAGTCTATTTTAGTAGGGGAACCCTCCCCCAAAAAAGGCTATAGAAAAGGGCATTGCTGGACCTAGAATAGTAAACTAGAGGATAGAGGTGCACTGGCAACTGGGGAAAGGTCCCGACTCTCCGCCAAGTTGCTTTGAGTGTGCCGACAACGCCACCCGACCTGCCAGATAGGCGCGAGTGCGCAAACTAGTGCAGAAGCCGTTCCCGGATCCCCTGCCAAAAGCTTCTAACGTTTCAATGTTTCAGTGGAAACTAACACAACACCCTAAAAGGCAAAAAAACAACTAAAACAGCTGTGGTTGGCAATAACACAAAAAAACAGCTTCCACAAAAGGCAAAAAAACCACAGCTTGGCAATAACACAACACCCAAGCTTCCAACTACCACAGCACCCCACAAACCTCTGACAAAAAAGGAAGCGGATGGCTGGGAACCACCAAGCTACATCGCAACATCGCGAGATCTTTGCCTCACTTCCCGAGTGGATTGGCCAACCCAAGAAACCACCGAACTTTGTATTTTTTTACCACTTTTTGGTGTCTGTCCACCAACTGTTAAATAAAAAACAAAAACAAAATCCAACTCAGAGCGTGAGGCAACATCTGGGGCTTACGCCTTCCTGGAGTCTCCATGACCCTTAAAAAACTAGAGGTCCCTGACCCTTTATTTTGGGTCATGACCAACCATTTTTATGGGTAAGGAGACTCCGGTGAGGCAACATCTGGGGCTTCCCTCCGAAAACCCTCCAACCCCCCCCCCGCGGGCGACCGACCGCTGGAGAGCCCCCGGCCCGAAGCCCTCCGTGGCCGGCGGCTGCAGCGCCTTCACCTGCGCCGAGTCGTGGTGCCGAACTCGAAAACTGGGAGGTGCCCGTTGTGTGGGGGGGTGGTCTCCAGAAATGGGGGGGGGGAAAGGTGGGTCATGTGTCTCTTTTTTTTTTGGCGAGGTTTAGTGTATGGTTCGGAGTTGGGCTGCCCTTTTTTCGGAGCACACGTGTCCTTGAATCACTCGGAAAACAAATATTCGCTGATTCGGTTTACTAGTCTTGGAGGAGACCCCAAATGCGGTTGTTGTTGCCAACTTGCTTCCTTGTTCTCAGTAACAATTTACCGGGGGCTTTGGGAATTCATCTGGGGACTCGCGGACTCTCTGCAAGCTGCTAGAATGGATGCTTCAGTTTGGGGTGATCCTCTGTCCCTTCTGGGCACCAGCAAGGGCTGAGAGCAGCCGTGCGCGCTTGACGTGCTTCTTTTTTGTAGTTTCTTGTTAAGAGGCCCGCTGTTTGTCTGTGCTTTGGTTAAGAGAGGGGTGGTGGAAAGATAAGGGGTCGTCCAAACAAAAGGGGTGCTATGTTTTTGCGTACGCCGTTGGAACCGGCGCCGGAGTTTTGAGCCGTTTTTGACACTTTTGCATGAATCACTTGGTTTTTCCTTGCATTTCAGCGTGGGGGGGGGGTTGGGGGGGGGGGGGGGGGGGTTCGGGGGGGGGGGCTGATAAGCATCCATGTCTGGTAAGCATCCATGTCTGGTAAGCGTTCACTGCTTTGATCCGGGCTCAGAGTCTTAAGCAGGCTGTCGAATTTTCCAGGTTTTCCATGGAAGTGCCATGCACGCCGCAGAAGCGCCGCAAAACTGCGGCCGAGTCTCCGTTGTCCGTTCGATCAGATGCCATGAGCCTGCAGATGCTTTCACCGATTGATTTGAGATCGCCAGGAACACCGTTTCTGGGAAACTATTGGCAGCTAGTTTGAAAACCCAGGTTTTGTTTTGTTTTGTTTTTTTGTTTTTGGTTTTTATGTGCTTTAAATCTCCCGAAATTGGCATTTGAGGCTTCCGCATGAGCCATCGTCTTCACGAGCTGGCAGCGTGGCCCCAGAGCAACCAGTGCAGCCAGTGGTGCCTTTTGCTGCGGGCGCTGTGGCCGCACGCATTGCTGTGGAACTGGGCTGTGAGGAGCTGCCAGCAATGGCTCACAATAGGAGCTTGCACCTTCGACCTGGGCCATATCTCATCATGCCCAATGATTGGCCACACTGTGCAACGTGGTGTGCTCGTGTCATTGAAGCAGCAGGCTTCAGCAGTGCAGCCCGCACTCTGCGTGGGATGAGAGCTCGCGCAGAGCAGGCGCTTGTCAAGCTTGCCCGCGCGGAAGCACAGCACTGGCAAGAAGTGGGTCGCTTTGATCTAGCACACACGTGGCAGAGCAAGATCGATGCTGCGCTGGCGCTGTCTGCCAACAGGAGCTATTGGTATCCGGTGGCTCGGGCTGATCTAGAAGAGTTTCGGGCGAACAGACGCTGGGAAGACAGGCGAAGGAAGCAAGCTACAATGCATGACTTTGCTTCTTCCAGCGCAGCAGGGCCAACCTTCCAAGATCGCTTGCGGGCTGAGCTATGCTTGAAGATGCAGAACCCAGAAGCAGAACCAATGGACATCATGTGGTCCGCATTGACAAGCCTCAGCCGCGGTGGCACTCCGTGGGTTGCTATAGCTGAGCTGCAGTCTGTGCTGCCGTTTGAGCAGCCAATGGTGGAAGAGTGCATTGGCAGCTACGCCAGCATCGGCATGATCTATTTTCGGCAGGCTGACCAAGCAGTTTGCCTTGCTGAGGCTTGGGATGAAGCAGCAGTAGACCGTCAGCAGCTTGTGGCTAACGCAGTGGAGTGGCTTGAGTTTTTTCGGTCGCAACAGACGACCTAATCCGGAGGCAACAAACCATTGCAATAGTGAAGAGATAAAAAGCCATCATGCTATTCGGCTTTTTCAAGGTTGACAAGTTGCAAGGTCTTTGCAGTGGCTAGGTCATGATTTGGCTAGGTCTTGACAGGTTGGTTAGAAGACCGCATTCTGCAGCCTTTTCCCAGTTTTGCCATGCCCGGTTGCCGCTTATGCGGCCGCCAGGGGCATAATTACTTGACTTGCCAGATTCAAGGAGCGGCGGAATATCGCGCTTTGAAGAAGGGCGCGAATGGCTCTGCTTCTAGAGGGAAGTCACGAACTTGCAGAGGAACAGGCTTTGCTGCGCTCAGAAAAGTGAAAAAGCCAGCCATGAAGCGGCCTGCTGCTTCCAAGTCTACTAGGCGAAAGGAATATAGCGGCGATGTTCTGGGTGCTGGCGACAGACGTGACCGGCAGTGGTCTGGACCGCAAGTTGCAGGAGTGACGAATGAAGAAGCTCTGAAGCATTTGCTGGCTTCGCGTTTGCTGCAGCGGCCTGCCAGATGTGACTCATGTCATGGCTACCTCTGCGGCCCTTATCCGCGCAAAGACATTGTTTCCCAGCAGCTGTATTGGCATTGCACAAACGAGGACTGCCGGAGCAGAATCAATGTCTTAAGCTGCAACAACTGGCTGAACAGAGATGGTGTGGAAAAGCACAACCGCGCATTGACGCCTTTGCATCTCTTCATCATAGTGATCAGCTACTTTTCAGAAACCAATCCTCGGCCAAGCAAGCCGGCCAAGATTGCCAAGATCAATGAGCACCTGTGCATTCTGGTTTTTCAAAAGCTTCGGGGCTTAGAAGCCCGCCAAGGCAGACTTCAGCTGGAGCAGTTGCGCCTCAAGGGCCAGATAGAAGTGGACGCAACAACAATCAGAAAACTGCACATAAGCAAATCGAATCCATCTTGGGCTGTCCCTATTCGGGCTTGGCAGGAACGGCATGGACAGCAGGCTCTGCCACCATGGTTTGATGTGCACGTCAGAATCGGAGGAGCCAAAGAACGCGGCTCTACTGGCAAGATTCTGATGTCACCTTTGCCATACGTGTTGTTGAAGCCATCGGCAAGGCCACCTACCGAAAGCAGTTTAGATGTGATGTCTTCTGACTTGATTTCCAAAGTCAGGCCAGGGGCCACTGTCTACGGGGATGGTGCTCGCAGCTGGCGCAGTGCATGTGAAGACGCAGGTCTTGAGTTCTTCCAGGTTCGACATTGCCTTATGGAGTTCAGCTGCCATTTCTGCACGGGAGGCCGCACAAAAGTCGCTGGAACGCAGGCTCTGGACTCATGCTGGCGTCGATTAAAAGAATACTTGCCGCGAGAAGTTCAGGCAAAACATGTGGGAAGCAAGCTGGTGAATCCAGCTCTTCATGAATACGTTTTTTCATGGCAATGGCGCATGAACGCAGGCAAGGATCTGTGGGCTGCGTTGCCATCTTTAAACCCTTAGAAAGCATGAACAAAAGCGCCGCCCTCAGTGCTGGGGAGGGTTTGTTTCTAGGCCGCCGCTTGAATCTGCCTTGATGTTTTTTGCACTTACACATTCTTTCAGAACGTGCCAAAAACCTCAACGTGCCAAAAACCTCAACGCCGGTTCGCGCGGCGAAGCCTATGTTTTTGGGGGTTGAACATGGAGGTGTTCGATTCTTTTTTGTTGAGAGTGGGGGGGGCACGGGGCGTGCATTTGTATGAACTTCATGGTTGTGCCAGTAAATGCTCGAGTGACACCCCTTTGGAATGATTTTTTGCTGTGTGGGGTCTGTGCTGGTGGGATGTTGGTGCTAAACATTGTTCAGTGTGCTGAAACAGGAGGCTGCTTGAAGAAAGAGGCCGAAACAAGGAGGTTGTGAAACGCCAGAAGGAGGGTGGCTTGAAGGGGAGTGGCCATGGGGAGAGGGGGCTTTAGCTATCATCCATCAACCCCTTAAGGCGCTGCCTTATTAAGACTTATCCTTGGCTCGTCCAAGGATTCAGAGAAAGGCCTGCCTATAGTGAATAGGCGCAACAGAGGGCACATCCACGCTTGCTTCTTGGTCATCTTGTCAAGCTCCAAATGGACGAAATCCTGCACCATCTAAGAATCCGTGGAATGATGTGGTTCCCCGGTAAATACCAACAAATGGCTTTTCATGGTTTCAAAGTGGTGCAGCATTTCGCCAGCCTTCGACCCCCTAAATGCCACAAATCACAGGCTTTATTTTCGTCTATATTAAGTGTCCTTGAAGATGCTAACCAATGTCATAAAAGATCGCAGGGCGGGTAAAGCGGTTCGTTCCCCAACTCCTTTCAGTGGGCATACATCTGCATGACTCAAAGAGTTCCGGCTGAATCATGTTGCAATTGGGGCTCTGCGTGGGGAATGCCCCTCCCGCGCAACTTGTTAAGGTGTCCTGCTGAACGTAAGGTTCAGCAGGTGTCGCCAAAATATAATGGACAGTTTGATAGCTAGTTGGGCCAAAAACAGTGTTAAAAGTAGTTTAATGAGTATTTGGTGAGCATGGCTCTTTGCTATAGTAAATATTGACCGTTGCCAACATCGCTTGCATATTATGTTTCCTGTGGTCCTTCTTTACTTCAAAGCAAAGGCGTGCTCCAGCCTAGACAAATGGACCCATTACCGTGTCCGAAGTTGGTCATCCCTGATCACTCCCCGAAGAAAAAAACCGCTGCGTGTTTTGACCACCGGCTCACGGGTGAATGTGTGACAAAATGTTGGACATACCCAGCTGGTTCTGCGAACTCGGTCCAGCGGGACCAGGAGCAATCTACAGACCTTGAAGGCACTTGGTCCAATCTCAATCACAGGGATGGTCACGTTTGCCAAGCTGAAACCTTTGAAGGCGTCTTTTCCAATCACAGTGACAGAGTCGCGAATGGTCACGCTTGCCCAGAGACAGTCAATGAACGCCTCTACTCGGTCCTTCTCCTTGAGGGGAACAGGACGGAGTAGAGGCCTTCATTCAGTCCCTCTGGAATTTCCATGCGCAAATTCTCATTCCCGACCCTGGAGGCTTGAAAGCTTGAGCACGTCACCGGCTTGCTCAGAGATGCCAGAACTTCTGCCCCTGGAATTGCCTCTAAGACCATTTCCTGGTTCGATAAGGGCCTGTCTCCAACAACCATGTCTACAAAGATCAGCGTCGCAAGGCAGCCTGCCTCTTGAATTCATGGACACTTCGAAGGATCATTCCTCCCCAAACAGCTGTCGAACTCTCTTGACATGGCTGAGTTTTGCTTGGCTACCCAACTGTCGCTTGATATGTTGACCTGGCCCTTCGCTAACTTCAAACCTGCGGCGTTTCGGCTTGTTGGCTGGGCATGTTTCGGCACCGATGTTCAGGATTGTGCTTGGGCTAGCTGGCTACTGCTTTGACTTCAGCGCGGCTTTGAGCCCTGCTTTGCATTGGTTCGCCTAGGTGCGGTCCAAATAAAAAAGCAGTGGCATTTGGCGAGACATGTCACCCTCATCACCATCCTCCTTGCCCAACGGTTGGGCCAAACAAGGGTGTGCCCGCTTCTTGCCGCCCGGGAAATGGAGCGAAATCGGCATAGGCTGACAATAACTCATCTACAAAAGGTCCTTTTTGGGTCCAAGTGGGTTCATTTCATGGCGAAACTTACGGAGATTCCGGACCCCTGAAATGGGCGGTTTCTGTTTCGGTTTCCGTCAAAATCTACTGAACAGAAAAAGAGGCTCCAGCAAAAACTGACACTTCACGAGTCGGACCTGTGAGCTTCCACGTAAGTGGGAGAGGCCCGTTGCTCAGTGGGCATTCTTCAAATTCCTTTTGTTTGTTGGGCTCCCCTCTGAACATGATCAGAAATTGCTTCATTCAGATTTGCATGTGTGCACACGAGCAAGAGAGATCATGTTTGCGTCCAATCCCACAAATGAAAAATGGCCCCCTCAAGCTGAACCACCGATTTGGCCCAGCCGAAAAGCCTCGACTTCCCCGCATTTGGGAAAGAAGGCCTGCAGGCTTCGTTGGCTGGCCCCCAGATCGGTGGCCACCTTAGGTGCGACAGAGGGCTGTTGAGCTGGTTTGGGCGGGGGCTGTCCTCACCTAGGATCTTCCCATATTCTGGCCTGGGAGGGTAAGCCTTTGTAACCTATTTCTTCTTCAGACCAATTCCCTTTGTTATAGCCAGGGAAACGGGGAAGTCCACTTTAAAACCATGGCGAGGAACCTACCCTCGAAGGCTCTGGGATGCAAGTTTGTTTAGTCCAGGAGGGAACTCCAAAGCGGGATTGACATCTTGTTCTCTTCCAGCGTCATGAACTTAGTAAAAAACAGCAAAGATACAAGATTCGAGTGCCACACGTCTGCAGTCGTGCAGTGTGTTATGAAATAGTATTAAACAAGAAACGAGACTCTCGCTTGGCCAGCAAGTTAATTTAAACCCGATTTCAATGTGAGTCACAATCAAAACCCGGTATTAAAATGATTGTAATTCTTTAAGAAGGCGGCCACAGCTATTTTGGGTTGGGATTGTCCCTTACTAACCTTCATCTACCCAGGTTTTGATTGTGGCTTGTCAATTAGAAACGGGCATTTTTCAGCTGCGAACAGCGGACGGGGGGAGGGGGTGTCTCCGGCAGCCCAGACCATGCAGGTTAGTCGCCAAAGGAAGAAAACAAATCGCACCCCTTGGGTATGTGGGATTCCCTCCAAATCTATGCTATGCAGCAAAGCCAAGACCCCCGTATAGATTTTGCCACCCAGAGTCTCGGCCAAACCTGAGACTTCTTGAATGACTCTACCGTAGAACTAAGAAATTAGCAAGACTCTCAAGAGTGAAAAGGACTTTCTGTATTCCCAAGAGCTAACCCAATGCTATGACGAAAACGGATGAAACTCAAAGTGGCGTTGTGTGGTCGAACCCTTCAAACGGGTGGCCCCAAAAAAAGACGAGCCCGAAAAAGACGAACGCGCCAGGGCCAAAGGGCCGGCGCCCAGCTCGCGGCCATGGACGCGAAGAACTCGCAGCGGATCCGGGCCTCAGAAGAAAACCTCCCGGCTCCGAGCTCGGGGGTTTGGCCGCAAGACATGGGTCACAATCAAAAATTCGGTGCCAAAAAATCGGCGAAATATTCGGCACCAAAAAATCGGTGAACCAAAAAATAGGTGAACCCAGAACCGGTACCAAAAACTCGGTGAACCAAAAAACCGGTACCAAAATTCGGTGAGCCAAACAAATTCGGTGACATCGGAACCATGCTTCAAGAATTGGAAAGGCGGATCTCCGCAACTATTTCCGGCTGGGACTGGCCCTTACTAAGCTTCATCTACCCAGGTTTTGATTGTGGCTCACACAAACAAAAAGAAGGAAATCCCGAATGCGCAGAATTGAGCCGTGACAAGACTACTCTTGTGTACATAGCGGTGCTATGAACTCGCGACCCCATGGTTTCGCTTTCGCTCGCTTCGTTGGCTCTCGCGGCACTTTCGCGGACGGTCACACCCGCTCTTTCGCGGCTTTCGCGGGTCTTCCGCGGCCTGCGGTTTGAAGGGCTTTGGCGAGGACAGGACACCCCCCCTACTACTTTGTATTGTCAGGGTGTATGGCGCTGCTCAATTGGCCATGGGTCAAAATCCAAAGCCCGTACCCCCAGTGAACATCCGATTCAATCCTAAAATAGGTTCTAAAATGGGTGGTGCACCTACCCCAAAATGGGATCCCATTGGTGTTGACCCACAGCTCCAGCATTCCAGGCGGTTCCCAGCTCCGAGCAGAAACCCAAGAGCTGATTGATGTTGGTTGAATCACTCCAAAATGCGACGGCCAAGCCGCGAATGGGTATGTCTTTTCTTAGGGGACAACCTCCCCCGAGAACAAAAGGTGATCCTTTTTGGTTTTCCTTTTAAAACCACAAAGAAAAGGGTTCCCCTTCCTCCCACTACCATGGTACCTGAGAGAGGGTACCTGGAAGAATTCTCCTGGAGGGACCCCTGTGCCATGTTAGTGGGAGAGAGGTTCCCCCCCCCACCCCAACAAAAAAAGAAGAGAGAGGCACGCGTTTCCTGTTGGTTTTCCCTTAGCCCCGCCCAAAAAAAACATCGGCCACCTGCCACGTTTTTGTAGGAGAGGTTTTGCCCAGCCGTACCGCTTTTCCGGTCTTTTTCTGGGCGCGCCAGGCCAGCGCGGCCCAGGGCTTCGCCACCAAACTCCGCGCCTGAGGCATGGGGAGCCAGGGGAAATCAGAAGAGAACCCTCGCTCCGGTTGGCGCGCCTTGGTATTCTTGAGGGGGCAAGAGTTAAATTGCTTGGGTGAGCTTGTGGATTTTGAGCTTGGCAGCGCACTTGGGGCCATTCCAGGTAGTGTTCCTTGCTTTCCCTTGAAAGAGGGGGGGAAGGGCCCTTCCATGTCTCTAGTCTGCCGCACAACATGGAAGTCATGAGATTCTGTACCCTGAGGGCGATAGGGCCCCTTCTACTATGTCCCCTTTAAACGTCAAAAAATCTCACATGGCACCCAAAAGGTGATGATCCCTGAGGAAAAAACACCCAAAATGCTTAGTGGAAAACCCAAAGGTTAAAAGCTAGGTCTTCAACTGGCGCGAGTAACAATCTTGGCCATTGTTCAACCATTTCCTGGGATACAAACTCATCTTGTCTGCCTTCATGTTGGTCCAGCGAAAAGGATGCAAACTGTTTTTTTGCCGAGTAGGTTTGAACACCCGAGGTGTTCATCATTCTACATGTGGGGGGGGGGGAGGGTGTCCTTTTTACGTGACCCTGCAAAGTGGCCATGGGTCAAAATCCCGTACCCCAACTAAAATAGGTTCTGAAATGGGTGGTGCACCTACCCCAAACATGGGATCCCATTGGTTTTGACCCACAGCCAAATGGCTTAACAGCGTTCCTTGCGGCCACCTGAAAACGGGCACCCGTGGCCCCGAAAAAATTCTCCAACCCCCCCCGGCCCCCCCCCCCGTCCGCCCCGCCACTCCCGCGCCTCCGCCTTCACCTCCAGAAGCTGCGCCAGGACCTCAGCGAACGGTCAGCCAGGTCTGGTTGCTTCACTGACAGGCAAGGGGGGGGGGGGGGGGCGCGGACTTCATTCGATATGCAGCTTTTTGGGTTGTTCCGGAGGCTTGTTGTTTAGAGCTTCTTCTTTCTTGTCTGGATGCGTGTTGTTTTCCTTTTTGTCGTGTGTTGGTCATTGTCTTGGGCTACAGGGTTTCCTAGAATGCCCCGCTTTCAACATCACCCAAGGGAACGCACTACTGAAAAGTTGGACTCGTAATTCGCGGATGTTGTCAAGTCACAAGTTGTGAATGGTGACAGTCCAAAAGGTGAGAAACACAAGAGTGATATTTGGGGTTCTTGGAAGGCACACCCAAAAAATGGCTCCTCGAGGTTCCAAATCCCTTCCGTGGAATTCTGGTTGGTTCCTATGGCGAGCCGTAGGCATCCAAAAACTTGCGGAAAACAAGAATTCGGAGCTTCGAAGAAAAGTCACCTGGTGATGTGTTGACTCGACCAAATATCGAGAACCAACAAAAAAAAAAGAATTCAGCCGGTCATGTTAACTCGACCAAATATTATATCCAGAAAGAGCGTCCTTGTGGTTAGCACTTGAACAAATATTTGAACCAACTTGGGGTTGTCTGACCAACAAGTGCCATGGTGGGTTTCGTTGGCTTCTGTGGTGTCACCTGCTTCCATGCCACGGCCAAAATGGGGTCCCCCAATTGGTTTGGGTGTGTTGGTGCTGCTTTCCCCTCAACTGGTTTGTCGGTTTTCTGGTTTTTAAAGCCCCCCCCCGGGTTTGTGTCAAGACTGGAGTCATACTCAAAACCTGGAGTCCGAAGCGGAACTCGGGGAGGGAGTACCCAGGTTGCGATTGCAACCTGCAGGGCCAAGTCGCATCTGTGTCCAGCGCTGCCATCTTTGCCTGCGCCTGGCGCGAGAGGGATGTGCCAGTCCTTCAAAAGAACTTGACATATTTGGGCAGGGTTCCGTTATTTTGTTTCCACTGCCCCAAAATGAGTCCAAGAATGGACTTGAACCAAGGTTCCTCCTTTTGGGGGGGAATGAATCATGGGTTTAAAGCTTAAGTCTACACTGGTCAAAAGTGGAAACCTGCATTTGGGTGTTCAACTCACCTGGTACGTGTAGATTATAACCATTGTCACAACCGGAAAAACCATGGTGAACTCATCTACTAAGCGACTTGCAGGGTGTGAAAGAAAAGCCTAAAGATCCCAAAGTGGTCGATCTCCGCTTCTTTCGGGTGCTTCACATGCCACCCGAAAACATCACACCCGAAGGAAACTCGCAAACATGACAAAACACACACACAGAAAAAAAATAGCAAGGGATGCACGGCATGCCAAACGGAATTAAAGCAGGCCCCTGTACCATCATGGCTCTCAAGCGCCCCCGCGAAATGGTGGAACCCCCAAACGGGCTCCATAATAGACCTCATCAGGGCATATGGCACGAAACAAGGAGCTATTGGCCAGAAAAAGGACTGGTTTCCCCTCAACACACCACGCAAAAACGGGAAGTGATAGACCCATTTTGAGCCAGACACAGGCTAGTTAGTTTCTTAGCACTGGAAACTGGGAAATCAGCAACTGAAAATTGGCCCATGTCGCTGTCCCCCTCCTCACCCTGGGTCCCATTGCCAGTTTAGAGGGGTTTTATTTCAAAGGGAGCACCCAAGGGAAACTATACTTAATTGACGGGGTCCTGCCGGGTGCCAAATAACAACCTCAAAGGCCTTCTTATTCTTTTTGAGACCCTGAATTTGTCACCCAGCTTCATGGATCATTGCCCGACTTAGCAAAATATTTTGCCTTTGGGGTTGAGTCTGCAGTAACAACAATGGTATTTGAGTAGAATGTTGTTTGGGCACATGGGACCTGACTGCAAGCCTGTGCACTGTGTCCAAGCATTAAACAAATCTGCACCATTACCCAGTTCTCAGTCAAAATCACCCTTGTAGCGTGGCTAGAAACAACGGTTTCTGACCTGGCTTTGTGTCAAAATAGGCCCATGTCGGTTGTTCGTTTGGTTTTCCTTTAAGCCAACCTAAGAGGGGTACCCTGAATAGCCTCAAGAAACCACACACGCCCAACGGGGCTCCATTGCTCGACCAAGGCCGCTCAAAGCCTCCTGCAGCTGCTCCTGCAGCGCGTCCAAGCGCGCCATGGCGGTCGTGGGGCCCTCGGCAAGTCGAAAGAGCGGTGGGGAGGGAGGGAGGGAGGGAGGGAGGGAGGGAGGGGAGGAGGGAGGAGGGAGGAGGGAGGGAGGAGGAGGGGGAGGGAGGGAGGGAGGGAGGGAGGGAGGAGGGAGGGGGGAGGAGGGAGGAGGGAGGGGAGGGAGGGAGGGAGGGAGGGAGGGAGGGAGGGGAGGGGTGGGAGGGGGGGGGAGGGGGGGGAGAGGGAGGCAGGGAGGGAGGTGGGGGGGGGGGGCAATTTCTTGGTGGTTTCTTGGTGGTGTTGATCAGTTTTCTGTTGGTTTTGGGTTTCTTTCATTGTTTGTTGTGCTCTGCTTTGTTGGTGTTTGCTGGGTCTGTCGGTCTGGCTGGCTTTGCGGTTGGTTGTGGCCACTGAAGGAGGCTGGTGGGTGACAGGTCAAGGGGGCAAGATTGAAGCCCGAGAAACGCTCATCCAAGTACCTGGAGACTTAAACACTTTGAACCGGTGTTCGGAACTCTCCAAGTTGGTCTCACACGCGCTCGCGATACGGAGCGCCCTAGGCCTACCCGTGAAAAGAGGCGAACATCTCAACGGGGAGAAAAGACCCGATGAAGTGGGAAGGACCAAGACTTGGTCGAAAGAGAGCCGCCGAGCAGAGCCAGGTTGCTTTTAGCTTTTGCTTTGCTTGCTGTTCCGTGCATCATGGCCGGCTCTGCTACGCAGCAAGTTGTTTCCCTATACCCGGTCAACCACAAAAACCGCTGGAAAGCTCACAAAACCGCACCCACCCCGCACAACCACCCCGCACCCACCAACCCCGTCGCGCAAAGGGAAACGCTTTGGCAAGCCGAGCTGCCGCGAAGAAACTTGCGCCGAAGGAGGCCCTCAGCTGAGAACCGTCCGGGGGGTTAACGCCTATGTTTTGGCGAAACTTCTGAGACACACACCATGGGTTTCTAAGGGAAGGCCGAAAGGAAACCGGCCATTTGGCGCATTCTACATGCTTATTCCCAAAAAAGGATGGTTGTTCATGAAACGTTCTGCGGGTCTCAAATTTATTGGGGACAAACATGGGCCGGGTGTGTCCTTGATTGAGGGAACGGGTTGAAACGGCTGAAAGAGAAGCCAAAAAGAAGTTCCCCTATTTGAGACAAACCCACAAACATACGCTGCACCATGATGGATTGTGGCAACATCGTATTTTACGCTTGGGAATTCTAGTCTACGACACAATCATTCTCAATCATCGTAAGGCGTGCTTGTGAATGATTGTTTTTAACATTGGTTTATTTTCAGCATATTTTAGAGAAAGGATCTGTTGCACTTGCAGACCACCTTCATGCTGAATCAAATAGTTTGAGCATCCTATCCGGGCAAAGTGATACAACTCACATACATACATACATACATACATACATACATACATACATTACATTACATACATTACATTACATTACATTACATTACATACATACATACATACATACATACATTACATACATACATACATACATACATACATACATACATACATACATACATACATACATACATACATACATACATACATACATACATACATACATACATACATACATACATACATACATACATACATACATACATACATACATACATACATACATACATACATACATACATACATACATACATACATACATACATACATACATACATACATACATACATACATACATACATACATACATACATACATACATACATACATACATACATACATACATACATACATACATACATACATACATACATACATACATACATACATACATACATACATACATACATACATACATACATACATACATACATACATACATACATACATACATACATACATACATACATACATACATACATACATACATACATACATACATACATACATACATACATACATACATACATACATACATACATACATACATACATACATACATACATACATACATACATACATACATACATACATACATACATACATACATACATACATACATACATACATACATACATACATACATACATACATACATACATACATACATACATACATACATACATTACATACATACATACATACATACATACATACATACATACATACATACATACATACATACATACATACATACATACATACATACATACATACATACATACATACATACATACATACATACATACATACATACATACATACATACATACATACATACATACATACATACATACATACATACATACATACATACATACATACATACATACATACATACATACATACATACATACATACATACATACATACATACATACATACATACATACATACATACATACATACATACATACATACACATACATACATACATACATACATACATACATACATACATACATACATACATACATACATACATACATACATACATACATACATACATACATACATACATACATACATACATACATACATACATACATACATACATACATACATACATGCATACATACATACATACATACATACATACATTACATACATACATACATCCATCCATCCATCCATCCATCCATCCATCCATCCATCCATCCATCCATCCATCCATCCATCCATCCAGTATAACAGCAAATTTACCCATGTTTAAGATTCATTTTCCACTGTCCTTGATACCATATCCCCTGCCCCACCTCCACAGGTGCCCTCTCCACACATATTTCGTCTTTTCCTGAAGATGGGGGCTCACACCAAGAACATCGAAGAAATCACAAACCTGAAAGGAAACCCCAAACAAGGGACAGCGACAGTTTACCGTAAGCTTGTTTGGCCTCTTCCTACGGCTCCCGTCGAGTTCTGAAAAGCCAACTACAGTTGGCATGTTGAGACTATAATACGCATTTAGTTGAACTTGAGATGCAACATGTCGAAAGAGGTCCCGCAAAAAACAAGTCTCAGGTCCATGTATCAAGTCGTGCCACAAAGCTGAACATGAAACTAGACATGGAAGCACACGCGTCAAGCAACTGCCCCAACTTATCTCGGTTGCTTTCTGCTCCCCTGCTAAAAGTTTAACTTCTAGTGGTTTAATGGAAAACCCATTAGTTGGCAACAAGTTAAAGTCCTAACATCCAAGCAAAATGCAGAGTTATCATTCTGTTCAAAGGGTCCGCACACAGCTTGCACCACAAAATCTCAGGCGCACTCCGGCCGTGGGTCAAAATAAAAGGCTCCCAGAATGGCTTGCCCTGGTACATGGCTTGCCATGGGTACCCAACACCTGCGGCCCAATTCCTGGTTTGCTTTTGACCCATCTGCGGTCGAAGCCCTTGGACTTGAGGAACGAACGAACGAGAACCAGTCACGAAAAACGTCTCGACAGCCAAGCGTCCAAAGGAACGAACGAGAACACTGTGACAACTGGCGGCCATGAAAAATATTCGAGAATAGGTATTTCTGACTGCTTTGTTTTTTGCTGAGATTTTTGTTTTTTTCTCGCAGATCGAGGTGTACTTGTTTCCATGCATGAATCACGGATGCACCCTGCACATCTGTCCAACCCCTGGTAGCAACACACTGTTCTCTTTTTGCAGCACTCCGCCAGCATGAACAGAACCATCAAACCAAAAAATCATATTCGAGTGCCAAGAACAGTGAATATATAACTGGGCTGCCCTCAGATCCCCTGCTAAAAGTTTAACTTTTAGTGGCTTAAATGGAAGCTAAGGGGATGGCTGGGAGCCACCAAGATAATGTAAGATCCAGTGCGAGTAACTTGGCATTCCTTTCCCGCAACCGAGCTGCAATTGCACACCAAGTGGCCCCCTCCTTGCTGCTGCCAGCTCCTGTTGAGGACGCAACAGCACGCAGCAGGGCTGCCTATAGTTCCCGTTCAAACATCACTTCTGCCAAGGAAAAAATGCGATAAAACCTCCAAAAGCGGGGTGGGGCGGAGGGAGGGCGTTGGAATGTAGGGTCCCCCTGGTAGCGTCTCTGGCTGGCTCAAGATGGCGGAACACGGGGAAATGGATCCCCATGTTCCGATTGCTTCCTGTTGGCACTGCTCCGCGGCACCCTTCCAGCAGTCTCGTTCCTGAGGCAATCGGCAGTAAACGCCCAATGCAGTGGGGGGAAGGGCTGGCAGGTAATCAGAATGCCGGGTTTTCCTCATTTAAAACCGAGCAAAAACGAGTAGTCTCAAGAAAAAGACGTCCCAATCAGGTGAGTGAAAGGCGAAAGAAACTTCCAAGTCACCGGGAAGATCACTTGTATAAGGCTAGTGCGGGGTTCAGCTCAAGTCTTGAGACATGGACGAACCCCAACAGAGCAAAAGCAAACCGAGGCATGAGGCAGATCACGGAAACCCAACATCATGACTGCACTCGAGTGAGCAAATAGCAATCACGAAAGCTTCAATTTGTTTTTTCGCCGCCTGAAAATAAAACAAAAAACAAAACATATTTCCAGTAGTGATAGATTCCCTTTAAAACCAACAAGGGACAATAAACCATATTCCTTTCAGCAAATGGAAGAAAGGCAAGTAAGGGGAACTAGAACGAAGCGGAGGGCTCTAGAACGAAGCGGAGAGCGGCGAGCCACAGGCCGTGTCCCACATGCAGGCCATGGGTTCCTGTTTGAAGCAAACTATACCCCCCCCCAAAAAAAAAAAAAAAACTCCCAGAAGCACACGCCCAGCGGACAAATGGCCCAGGTGCCAACACTCCAAACTCCAAGGCATGTGGAAGGCGTGGCCTACGAAAAAGTTGGTCTGTGAGTGGAAACCGAAGGAACGGCACCATTTTGGGGGCCCTGCTTTGACACACACACACACACAAATGTTGAAACTGAACACTCCATCTAGACATCACGCAAATTGTTCCTACAAAGGCACATTACGTGTTGTCAAGCGGTTCTTTCTTTGTACATACTACTCCTGTCATGTTGGATAACTTAGCAAAAGGCGAACACGTACAGGAACCACAGGACTGACTCGCTATACATCCCTTCAAACAGCACCACCACAAACAACAACTCACCTTACGGCTAACAAAATGTTTCATGTTGGCAACCACCAGAACGGAAAACTCACCTCACTCCTGACATGTGCCGGGAACAATCTTTCCGTGGGACATGGCCGAAAGTCTCAAAACCGGAAAAACAACACGGCCCGTGTCTTGCGGCTGATTTGGGAGTCGCTCAAAATAGGGGACCTCCATGTTGATGGGTTTCTGGTCTTCAATTTCGTGCTAAGACCCATTTGGGCGTTTGTTAAAAACGGGGCACCCCCCGAAAAATGGCAACATGGCTTCGGTCTTCCTTGTGGTTTCCTTTTAAGCCAACCCGCCAAAACGGTGGCAACTCGAAGAACGACGGACCTCGATTCGCCGAGCGGCCCGGATCTGCTGGCGCAGCTTCTCATGCTGCTCCAGCTGGCCGTCAACCAGCTGCAAGACCTGGCGAGTGTAGTGACCCCATACTGTGGATGGACAAAATCCAGTTCGCACCGCCTAAGAAAACCCTGGAATGATATGATGTTCCCCTGTCAATATCAATAAACGTTGTCGTTTCACATAGTTTCAAAGTGGTGCGAAATGGATTTCGTCCATCCACAGTATTAGCAAACCCCAGTTTATTCATAGAGCGGTGTTTGGCCCCCTCCATTTGTTTCTCTCAACCAAATGCAGTTTGTTGAATTCGGGGGGTGGTTGTTGGCACCTCCAAACATGGTCTGATTCCAACCACATTTCAACCAGTTGAGAAGAACAAATAGGCAAGGCCATCCAACTGGTGGTTTCCTTTAAGGGAATCCCTGCGTTCGTTCCCACATTCCCCACCTCTCGCTCCAGCAAGTTAATATGGGGTCAACAACCTATGGCGTGCAGTTCCCTTCGGTTTGAGGGCGCCAGGTGGCCTGCCCGGGGTGAGATACTCACCGATCGAAATGGACAACAACTCACCTCCCAAGCGGTTCTTCGTCCATGAACCCAGGAAGTGCGGACGTTGAAGAAACCCAAGTGGAAACCCCAAATATTCCGAAAGGGGCAAACCAGAGGAGAACCACAAGGAAATGAAGAGGGGAGTCAAAACGTAGCAGCCAAGAAGAAGGAACCAAAAGGAAAGATAAAAGGGAACTAAACTGGAAGAACCAAAAGGGGATTTCAAAAGGAAACCGGAGGCGACAAAGAAGAAGTGAACGAGCCTAAAGGCAAGTCACAAAGGGAAAGCCAAAAACAACACCAAATTCTAGTTAAAATGGGCCGACTGGGAGAAGAAACAGTTTCTTTAAGCAGCGAAACAAGCCAACACAGACTGTCAAGGCTCACGAGAGGCTGCAAAGGATCACCGCTTGATGGCTGCGCACATGGACCCATAATAATGGCTATGAGGAGGGGGGGCTATGACTTTTTAAACCCCTTCCCCTCCCCCGGGCTAACATGGAAGTTTTTCAGGATCCCTTTGAAACCTTTTGGGAGCTTCCATGTTGGCCTGAGGGAGCGTTCTATAAGGCCTTATCAAGGGCTCTCAGCCCCCTGAAGGTCCACGACATGCGCCAAAACCCGCGGATTTTGTCCCTCCCGCGCGGCCCGTTTTTTTGGCGACGCCTCGTTGAGCTCGCGCTCGAGGCGGTACCGGGCACTGCCGCCCTCCCCGGCGTTGGGGCTCCGGGACAAGGTCTGCCAGGTGACGCTGGCCACTGCCTGACAGCGCCCGAGTTGCAGGGGGGAAACTGGGGGGCTAGGCTTTACCTTGCTTCAAAATGACCCATTTACATAAGATGTCTAAAGATACACGATTTGTTGACTTGGCCCAGAAACAATATCTGCTATATGCTTATATACGCATGCTGCTGCATGCACTATCATGCACATCACCATGTGTATATATATATATATATATCTCTGTGTGTGTGTGAGTTTCTCCAATGCTTCTTGTTCCAAACACCGCCTTCCGCCTAAATCTTCCGTAAACTTCCGCGACGCAGCTAAAAACACACTTGTCGGTACGTGTCTAAACATGTGAGTCCAGAAGCCAATCGAATCCCCCCTAGAAGCCGGTCAAACTCCCTCTAGAAACAGCTGTCACATCCCCCTAAAAACAGGTCCAACTCCGGTCAGATCCCCGAGGCGGGCAACGCAAAGCGTTACAATTAAGACTACCAGGAGCCTCAAAAACCGATGAAAATGTCAACACGATGTTTTCGGGAAACACCGCATTTTCGATTTCAAGCAGTTTCCCATACATTCCTTCAACTCGTCATCCGTTCTCAAAAGATCTCAAAAGCATCATCTCAACCTCAGAATCTCCCATCGCCCTCCCCTTTTGCACTCGCAACGAAATCAGCTTCGCATTCGCCACTCGTCTTTCGCAACTCCAACCTGAAAGAAGGAGGCCGGGGACCCAAATAGTCAAAAGTACCACGGTTTTATGACACTTGTCAAGCAGCAGTGCCATGATGAGGGCGTGCTGGCTTCGAACAGCGCGCAAGCTCAAGCAAAGACCGTGCTTTTGCTCACGACTTCGTTGTTTTCCAGCAACATTCTCGAATTAGCGCATTCGTGGTTGAACCCGAAAAACCCATAGAATTTCCACGCTTTGCCACGCTTTACTACGGGTTCTCCACGGTTTAGCTACGGGTTAGAAAACACGATGTTTTCCAAAAACACGATGTTTTCGGTTGGGGCTGCGGGCTTTCTACGGGTTTCTACGGGTTTTCTATGGGTTTCTACGGGTTTTCTGCGGGTTTTCTGCGGTTAGCCGCCAGGATCCCGCCCCATTTGCTAAAAAAAACTCAAAATTGATAAAAACAATCTCAAAAGTGTCACCTGGTCTTGTTTTGCACCAAAAGGAGCTTTCGGATTCCAGCACCCCCTTCAAACTGGTTCGGTATGACCTGGCGCCAGTCTTCAGGTGCCTGTTGCTGTGAAAGGTACTTCAAGACTGAAGCCAGCTGCACACCCTGGCTGTCAGGCTCATCAATGTGGTCCTGAGAATTTGAAGCATACTCAGTATAGAGCGTTGCCCTCAGTTGAAATCTTAATGGGTGATGTCTGTGTGAATCCACTCCCGACCCTTGCCTTTGACCCTTTGCTCCAAATGAGTGTTTGGCCTCAGAAGCCCATTTTTAAGGGGTTTTATCAAAAACACGATGTTTTTCCTGAAAACACGATGTTTTCAGAAAATCGAGAAAAAACACGATGTTTTAGTCAGGGTACGACATTTTTACAGGTTCTTGAAGCCCTAGGTAGCGATCCTAAATGGACGCCTAGAAATGTGTAGCAAAACACATTCCCCAGCGGCAAACATGTGGACGGGATTAGGGTAATACGCTGGGGGCGGGACAGGGGGGAAGCGAGCCCCTGGGTTGGGGGGGGGGAAGCTAAAGCCTAGAGAACTCCCGCTAGCACAGCCAGCTTTTCTGAAAAGAAGCTACAGCGGGGTTTTGGTCAATCCTTATATATATATATATGTTGCATGAAAACTTATATATGCATGCATACATGCATAAGCATATACATTCAAAAGATTAATATCACCGGAGCAACGCCATTCTCCGACTGGCTTGGGCCTCCCCCCCGGGCCTTGTCCAATTCAGGGCCGAGGCGGTCCTCCCGCGGAGTGCCCGACAGCTCCGACAGCTCTCCTTAGTTCCACAGTTTCCCTCTGAGGTGTGAAGCTCAAAACTCCAGCAACCCGAAAAAGGGTTGCCCTGGAAAGGGAAAATTAGTAGACTAAATTTCTTCCGGCCCAATACCTTTGAGCCACACCCAATTGGTGGTTTGGAGGAAGCGCCAACTAAGGGTTAACGGATTTGTTGCCGCCCCCCAAAACAAAAAACAACTCAAGGGAGGCCAAATATCTTTGAGTTCATTGTCTCCTGGGAGCTTACGTGGAATCAAATCCTCTTCAGTTCACGTCCCAAGTTTCGGAAAACCACAGCACGGCAGGTTTTGACAAGAACACATTGGTTGAACACAACGAATCGCAGAGATGTCCTTGTTGCAGCTAACAAAGAAAATCAGCACGTCGAAGCCCAGCGCACTGGAAAAAGCTGAGGTGTACACGAACTCGGCAACTTAAAAGCAGGAGTCTGCTTTGCAAGCCAAGCAGTGGTCATGTTGCCCTCCCTTCGGGTTCCAACGAGGTATTGAACTTTTTGCTGCCAAACAAAGTATGTGCCTGAACATTGTCTGGAAGCACAGGCCAAACAGAAGTTTGCCCAAAGCCAACCACTTCCTGCGAATTTGCCCTTTGCGGGGTCCCTTTATTTCTGTCTTTTGGTGGCCCTCTTCTTTTCCCTTGAGGAGTTTCCCTTGTCTCTGCTGAAATCCACTCAAATCGTTGGCGTCCCTTTGAAAGTGGCCAGGGTCTGATTACTTCAACAACTTGAGGGGTTTGATTGTTTCCACACGTTTCAAAAAGAGCCGATAAGAACACCACCATTTTTGCAGGCCCACATGGCCAGAAGGAGATGAGAGACATCCTTTGTTGGGGTATTTGATGTTAAAGGGAACTCCACTAGAACAATCCACTGATTCAGAGCCATAGCACACCATAGCGCAGGAGCCATAGGAGGGATATGGCACTCAATGGCCCCTACTAGTCACAAATAGCTGCTAGGCATTGGTAGGCTGCAATGGCTCGCGAGCTGTGAGTCTGAACTAACATATGAAAGGAACATAGGACCCAAGGTTGGGTTTAACACTAGGATGGCTTCCGCTACTTCCAAGCCACCGGGGGAATACCGAGTATATGCCCTGTATGTTTTCGGTATGTCTAGTGGCTGTATATATTCAACCCACTATATGTAATCGCCCCTATGTATCCACTACACACAGGGTATACATGTCTCTTTCTTTCTTCTGGGAGTAGACCGTGTTTGTGCTATTAGTCTATTAGTTTCCCTCTAAGCTAACCTGCATGGGGTACCCTCAACACTCATCACCCGGTTGTTCGAACATCACCCCCCTTGCAAAGCCATCTGGATTCGAGAAAAAGAAAAAACCGAGGTCCGGGGCCTGAAGAGAAAAAAAAACGAACTGTAGCTTGGTTGCTGGAACGACCCCCCCTGCAAACAGTGAATCACTTTTTTGGGGGGTTAGTGGAAAAGACCTTTATTTCAATCAAAAAGTTAATGTCTAAAGATCCAACCCAGCAGTCAAGTCAGCCCTGTGAAAGCCCGGCGAGGCGCGGAGTTTGGTGGCCAGCGCGCCTGAGCCTGGGAAGGGCTCGAGAGGGAGCGGAGAGGGAGCTGGAGAGGGAGCGCGAGTGGACACGCGATGGGGGATTTGGTTTGCGTGCCTCGACTCCCCTGAAAGTGCCAACATCCAGCAGGGTATGTGTATAAGGCGTTTAGAAGCCTGTGTATTTTGGGGTTGAACCGGTCCTTTAACCGTCCCGCCCAAAAAGGAAGGCCAAACCAGGAATCGTTGTAAACCAACCACAATCCATGGCAAACCGGGATCTTCAACCGGTTCCCCGAAGCAATCCTCGAGGAAAAGCAAACGAATCGATCAGAACTAGGTAAAGAACCGGCACACCAACGCCAGCAACAATCCAAGCCAGCTTCAATTCGAACCTGTCAAGACTCCGAAACAAACCAGGCGCGGCCAGCATGACTATGCCCACCTCTTGCTCGCAGGGGCCACTGCGCCTAAACGGATAGCTTGAACCTAGCAGGCAGCTGAGACCATGGCCGACCATCGATCAAATGTTGCTTCCTTCTGCCCCGGTTTCTGGGTATGCCTGTTCCGACGGTACCCATCACCACAACCCATGTTCGTCCGAAGCTATGGCCGACCCACTCGAATTCCTGCCTGGTCCTTCTTGCGTAGGCGAGCCGGCGGGGCTATTGCCTCCAGGATGCAGAGCAAACATGCACGGGCACCTTAACGAATGAGCCTTTGGTCTGATTCTTACCCCCTTTCGTGCAACACTCAAGCACACACACGCACACAAAAGCATACAAAGGAAAACCACACAAACCCTTGCGCATCTGCGCCCCTGATCCCAAACAATAAAACCACCTCTCCGGGAGGTCCTCCATCCACCTCCCCCCTCCGCTCCACTGCCGCAACCTCCGACGCCTCCGCTCGCCTCCGGCGCGGCGCAGCAAGCGCCCGGCGCCCTCCGCGAAGGCGTTGGTGGCCTCCTGCAGCGCCACGGCCTGGCCGAATTGCTCCGCTCCGCTTCCGCCGCTTCCGCCGGCGGAAGCGCCGGAGCTTCGGAGCTGCGCAAGCGGCGGAGGAGGAGGCGGGAAGTTCTTTCGGGATATGCGAAGGACATGGGGAAAGGGCCAGGCGAAAGGCAAGAAAATGGGAGAAAGAAAGGGGGGACACCCCTGCACCAAAGAAGGTGTGTGCTTCCCTTTGGTGCCCCTTTTCAAAGCAAGCGGAGACTTGGCTTGTGTTCGACCAAAATACACGCGCATATGCTCTTACAGGACCTTGCTTTTAGTAAAACTGCTGTGTCTGAGTGTCGTGAGTGCCGCGTCTGAGTGTCAAGAGTGCCCTCTAGACAATACCTGGTCCTCTCTGGTCATAAGCCATGTGACAGTTGCGAAGGTCCATACAAAACAAATCACAATTCTTGCTACCCCCAGATCGAAGTCCAGGGGCTGTGGGCAAAAGTGGCACCAGTTTTTGTGGGTAGTTGATGTTGAGACACTCCTCTTTAGACAACTGGACAAATGACACCACACTTCCAGTAGTACCCAATCCCAGCTGCTCACATTGTTTGAGACACTGAGCATCATCAAACTAACATCTGCAAATGGGTCCTAAAGGGACTGTTCTTATGACCACGTTGCTCTGGCATCACAGAAAATGGACATGAAATCTAAGTTCCCACAACTCTGCTGCTCTGCACACAGACTGCGCTTCAGATTGCCTCTTAGTCCGGGAAGGAAGCCTCAAATACCTTGTCTTCTCTCTCAAGTCCATGCCGTCTCTCCTGCTGCCGCAGCTGGAAGAGAAGCTGCTCCACCTCTCGGGAAAGGGGACACGCTTCTTTCTCGCTTGAAAGCAAAAGGTGGAGAGTTGACCCCCAAAACAAATGATCAAGCTCTGTGCTAGTCAGTGATAAAAGGTGATGACATGCTTGTGTGGGCTTCGGCTTCAGTTCTGCCTTTTGGGTTTGGTCTGGGTTGATTGAGGTTCCTTAAAAACATCCAACAACTAGCTGGATTACAAGGGGATCCTCCAACACACCTAGTACATGTGAGTTCCCAAATGACAATCAATCCCGGTATTTAAATGGTCTGCGCGAATTCATGTAAATCATTGCACTCACTTCCTGAGTGGATGCGCTACAAAAAGTCCAAACTCTTTGCTTACTATCTTGATTGTACTATTGAGATGGTCTTTCCGAAAAGTGTAAAGTCCAGGTATTCAGGAAGTGAGTCATACTCAAAATCTGGTACAAAAATGGTGCACCCAAAACCATGTAAAGAGTTACCACTACCCTCGCTTGATTATGGCCCAAGTCAGCTAAAAATCACCAAAGCGCACATTTGTATCCCCTCAGATGCCCAGTGGCCTGGGAAAAAAGGGCATCCTTTTGGTTGGTTGAGTTTAAACGGGAATCCTTAAACAAATAAAGGACAAATGGAAGCAACCCACTGGGCAATCGGGTCCTTAAGGACCTTTGACCCCAAAAAAGCATTCCCCGCCCACAAAAACAAACAAACAGCGCCTGCAGGAGGTGCCCGAACAGCTCTCTCAGCGCGGGATCCTGGACGTCATTGGGGGGGGTGGCCCGAAAAACGAAAGGGGGAGGGTGGGGGTGTGCCGGGGGGGGGGTTCAGGGTGGAGGGCGGAAGGGAGTAGTAAAGAAAGAAGGGTTTCCCAGTTTGTGGATGCACCACCTAAGAAACCCTGCAATGATGAGTCCGCTGTAAAAATACGATCAAAGAATGGCTTCCCATGGTGGTGCAGGATTCTGTCCATCCCCAGTATTTGTGGCTGTTCCTTCTCTTCACCAGTGGGACTGCAAAGGCCTAAACACTTGGAATGGGGTACTTCACACGCAAATTCGAGTTGTGATCATGGGAGGATGCTGTGATGTTACGTGCAAGTATTACTTACATTGATGATTAGTTGACTTGTTTTTCTCTTCAACCAGCTATGAGATGAACGTTGGTGAACTTGCTTGTCTTGGGCATGGAAAAACCTCCCCCTCGCTCATTTGCTTCGCCAATCCTGCTCATTTGCGCATTTGCCAACGCCAATCAGCAATAGTTGACCAGCAAATCCTCCCGTGCTTAGTCACCTTGCCTTGGTCAATGTTCAACCTATAAATAGTACGTATGCAATCGTTTGAACTAGCATCAATTTGAATAGCAGGCAAGAATGTCGGAAATGTCTCCAAAATGACGACCCTCTGTGCGTTGCCGAAAATCATGACTCGGGAGCTGAGCTGAGCGCCTTCTTTGACTCTTTTGTGGTACACAAGGATGCCAACCAGTCATGGACAATGTAGCTAAAATGGTGTGAGTCCATCCTGTCTCGAACGGTTGCAAAGCCCAAATTCACCCTAGACTACTGAACATGTTGACCGAACCTGTGTTCATGCTACCAAGACAGTCAGCCGTCTGCCTGCCATCCAATTTCAAGCCCCCCGGACAGCCCGGACACAACAAAAAATCACTTCGCCTTCCAATGACTGGCATGGCTGAATTCCGCACCGTCTCCTTCCTACAGCTCAACTTCCACTGATCCCGCCTCAATTTTGACCTCCAAACCCAGTTTCCGCTCTGCATCCTGACCTCAGGGCCGAAACCGCCGCTGAATGGGCTTGTCTCTTTGTGGAGCCTCCACACGTGGTTTCCGTTTGGCTTCTCGCTAAACCAACCCCAAACAAGGGCACCCACGGAATTTGGATCACAACATTCGCATTTCCCACAGCCAAATCCGCCGTCAAACGAGTAGCTTTGACCAGGACATATGGCGAAAACAAGTGAAGCGACAGAGCAGGCGCCACTGGCCCAGAGCCGCACAGCATCGCGCAGGTAACAGCGGCAACAAGCTGCTCTTGCCCTTCGGGCCATAAAAAACGTGTGGTTGTCCTTGAAATGTCCCTTGAAACCAAGGTGAGAAGGGCCTTCATTAAACACAAAAAACAATCACAGACACACGCACACCGTGGAAAGAAGCAGGCGTTCTGACAGTCTGGTTTTTTCCCCCTCCAAATGCCTTCACACGTCTAGCCGCGTTCAACTGTTCTCAGCGCTCGCTGCGCATCGGCGGCGAGGCAAAAGAAGTCAAACAATGCATCCTGATTCCTCGATCTTGCTGCGATAACCTCTGAGCTGGCAGTCCAAACCTTGATCAGCCTCCAGCTTCTCCCCATCACCCCAACTCATTTGCTGGTGAGTGTAGAAGGGCACTAAGCAATCAGATTAAGCCTAGTGATTTGAGGGGGCACACATCAACGTAATCACCCTTCAACCAAGACACAAGCAATTCTTGTCCTGCTAGTTTCCCTCTAAACCAACCTGAAAGATTGGCCTCCAAAACAAAAACGCACACACACACACACACTCCCCCACCATGGCCACCCACCCACTCACCCCACTCCCCCATCCCCCCCCACCCCTGCACCCCCCGGCACCCACCCCACTCACCCCCACTCACCCCCACTCACCCCCACTCACCCCCACTCACCCCACTCACCCCCACTCACCCCACTCACCCCCACTCACCCCACTCACCCCACTCACCCCACTCACCCCCACTCACCCCAACCCAACTCCCAGGGCTTCCAAACGCAAGCGCCGCAGCGCCGCGCTTGCGGCGCCCGTGAGGCTGGTGGCTGCGAGCTCCGCCAGGGTCTCCTCGACCCGTGGAAAGTTTGCACCCGGTGGACTTTTTTCCACGGAACATCCCGTGGATTTTTCCCTGTTTCCTCAGACAACCCGTGGATCTTCCGTTTTTCCTCAGAAAATCCCGTCTGAGGATTTCCAGGGTCCAACCGAATCCAGTGGATTTGCAACTCACCAACTTGTTATCCTAAGTCTTGAAGGCAAACCGACCCCCTGGAACAACACCCTGGCAGATCCTGAGACGAGCTTGTGATCTTCCACTGGCGGTTCTGGCGATTGCCGCTTGCGCTCATCTACCCTGAAAGCTAGGGCACAAAAGCTAAGTTCCATCGCAAGTCGCATCTTAAGCCAAGCATTTCATCAGCTCTGATTGGTGTGCCGATTGCGATCGTGCCTGACGCAGCAAGTGTTTTCACGTTTCTCTCATGAAAAATAACATCTACGCGTGTCTGCTCACAATGTATTTGGGTGATCATTAATGTCATTGTCTCCGCCCACATATGCACGGACGAGTGTCACGGGACCTTCGCTTCTTCTCATACTTGTCGCTCGAGGCACCGTCCGCCATGACACGTAATGGCTCTCTTGAGACGTGCATAATTTATCACCCAGAACTAAGGCAATTCCAAAGTAACGCATGACATCATGGTTGAGCTGGTTTTACCCCAGAATCGGTGAGCTCATAAGCGACTGTTGGTTTACTCTAAATTGGGTGTCTTTTAGCCCCCCTGAACAAATGAACTGCATATTTGCCAGCCCCGTCCGGCCTTCTTGAGAAGAGATAACAATGAACTTTTTAATAGGGAACCCGGAACCCTTTCAAAAGTGGTCGGTGGGCACAAATGCCCACCTCAAGGAAGTCCACCAAAGCTCCCTGTTTAAAAGCAAACTTGGATACCCCCGCCTCCTTGGCTCCTTTCCAACCACCAGCTAGAAAAGAGGTACTGTGGATGGACAAAATCCTGCCCCACTTGGAAACCATGGGAAACCACTGTTTGTTGGTATTTACAGGGGAATCATCCCTCCAGGGCCTCTTAGGTGGTGCAGGATTTCGTCCATCCACAGTATCAACTCCACAAAAGGCTTGGGTCACCAGACATCTGACCCGACCCCTCCTGAAGCTTTGCACGGGAGGTCGCCCCTGCAACGTTGGACGTGGCAGGAGGCGGGGTGGGGGGTGGGGGGGCACCTTTTGGCACGCCTTTTGGCTGAAAAGTGAAGGAACCCAACACAAATCCCCCCGAGTTGTTTTTTTTCGCCAATAAGGGCTTTTGGCGGTTGACCCAACTTGTCTTGAGGGAAAAAGGTTTCCACAGGGGTTCTTGGCTCATAAAGGTAAGTCGAGCTTAATGTTGAACAAGAGAGTTGACAGGCAAGGCCGGCTACACTACTACCGGGGAATAGGGGCTGGTCATGAGATGCGGAGCAACGAGCACAAAAAACAACTCATCCAAAACCAAAAAATCAACAGGCCGCGCGTCACGATGTACCAGAATGTCGTTTTGGAGGAACGTGGTCTTCCATGACCCCCAGGTTCCATGTTGGTGATAGTAAGTGTGTGTGTGTGTGTCATGTTTCAGAGGGACTACCATTTGTTGGGCCCAACATATCCAGACGTGGGTTTTTTTCCACTTGCATTTCTAGCCGGAAGTGGGACTCACTTTTCATACCCAAATGTCCCACAAAGGAGTGGGGACCGTGCTTCAAGTGTGCGTGTGTACCCCTTTGTTGGTGGCTTGAAAGGGAAACCAAGAGGAATATGTATATATATATATTCATACACTAGGTCCTCCAGTAGAGAGGTTAGGATATACATCAGGGTACCCTTCTTTCTGTAGTCTATTCTAGTAGGGGAACCCTCCCCCAAAAAGGGGTAAAAGGGCACTACTGGAGACCTAGTTTGTATCACCAGGTTGAGGGGTCTCCTAAGAAAGGCTTCCCTTAAGCCTGGCCTGGCAAGGCCGAGCCCTCCGCACTCATGGCGCGGGAATTCCGAACTTCCGCGGGCCAGGCTTCCGATGGCTTCGTGAAACCACGAGTTTCAGGGGTGAAAGTAGATGGCACACGTGGTGGAGCTCGTAGAAAACCGTGACTCAACCAAGATGTGGCTGGGGGTCAAAATGGGTACCCAAAACGGAACCTGTTAAATGGACACATTGAGTAAAACCTGAGGTCCCCTGCTGGTTTCATTTTGAGCCACAACCATGTGGACGAAAAATGAACGTGATCCTAGAATGCGCGTGTAATATGGAAATCCAACCACTAAACACAAAAATATCTGAAAAAGCTAAGGAACCGGATGGCTGGTTGGAGGTCTCCAGTGATGAGAAGCCGGAACCGGTTTTGCTGCCAGTGTCCGGGGCTGACTTGGACCCCATGTGCCAACGAGTCTAGATCAAGCCCAGTGGTCCCCAACTTGCTTCCACCAGAGCAACAGTAGATGGCGCAACTCATGATTCCCTTTATGCGGGAAAGCAACTTGAATGGCTGAGCCCATGAGGCATGTACGTTCATCCAACTGCGGTTCAATTCGCCTCTCAGAGCCCACGGGATCAATCTCTGAGCCGGAAAGCGAAGCGGCGCATCGGCGCATGCAGCGAGAGGCGACGCGGCTGCAGTCGTGATGCCCTTCGAAACGTTTTTGGGGGCTCAAGAAGCCCGGAAGCTCGGCATGTTTAGCCAAGCTGTTGAGATCTTGGGCACCCAAAGAACTGAACTAAGTCGCTGGGATTCTGGCTCATGTATTAATAGGGAGTGAAGGACCCTCTAAAGTGATCACTGCAAAAGGGCGCCTCCTACAATTCTCCCCCCAAACAAAAACAAGAAACAACCAGGGCTAATTACACCGAATTTGGGGTTCCCATTGGGCGTGCCAACAATCCGTTCCGTGCGGAAGGGAGTGGATGGGCCAACAAAAGTTCCTCCGGGCTGTCCTACGCCTCTGGTCGGCGAAGCCCAGCATCCCGAAGGTCTCGAACGTCTCGGGCACCCCGTTTTTCGGGATGTAAAATCCCCACGTTCCGGGAAAAAAAGAGTATTAAACAACACCGTGGATGGGGTGAACATGTCGACAAAGCCAAGCGCGCATGCACAAAGTTTCGGCATGAATGCATCTGTAACAAATTGCGGGCAGCACCCGCAAAGGCGGGCAGCAAAGGACATGGATAGCTGACCATCCACTCCGGTCCCCTTCTGCCCTCTCGACTCGCCACTACCTTGGGTGTGGCACAGCAGGCACAGCAGCCGAATGTGTAGCATAACTTCACTATGAATAGAGGGACACTTAAACATAGTTGCTCTCTTGCTGTTGCATTTCCGTTGTTGCGTTTCCGTTGTTGCATTTCCCCAATGGAAAAAAAGGAGCATCTAGCGAGCTCAAAGAGTCCATCAATCGTGACTCAACTGCTGGCCCGGCGTGCAAGCGAATTACGGCGCGGCGAGACATGTGCTTTGGTCCCTCCTCGCACGACTCCAACCTGAGCCTCGCGGCCGCGCACCTCGCAGCTCGAGTGCTCTTTCAGCAAACCAAGATCGGGATATCGGTCAAAATGGGGCCACCCCCCCAACCAAAACTGGGCTGCCCTCAGATCCCCCGCTAAAAGTTTAACTTTTAGTGGGTTAAATGGAAACTACCACTAAGCTCTAAAAGCCTATAAGAAGCTAAGGGGATGGCCGGAAGCCACCCCCGCAACCAAAAACGCCATCTTTTTCAAGCTGCTTCCCCTTTCAACCAACTCTCAAAAGGGACCCTCAAAAGAATTAGAAACTTGACCCCAAATCAAAATACACAGGGAATCGAGATAGCAACAGCCCCCTTGGGATTCATTGCGCGGGCAGCTACGAGCTGTGGTGAAAGAGCCAGTGTGAGCGTGCCGCGCTCGCAAGCCTCACACAAGGGCCTGAGGGATGCACGTGATACGTGAAGTCCTTCCAACATGATTGCTTGAAATAGTGCGAATTGAAGCAGCGGCCAAAGGCAAGGCCCACTTACAGCCTTTGGGCTTGAATCGGGTGTTGAAACAGGGATCCTTACATTATACACCTGAACATTGCCTTGTAAATGGTGGTTTCTCTTTGTTTTGGTGGAAAAAAACATGTTTCACATGGGCAAAATGTATTTTTTGAGGAGCCTACGCAGCGGAGGGCCAAGCAAGCTGCACCCTGGGCTCGCTGCCTGCGTTGGCTGATTCAATACTCCATACGATCTGGGCCTGAGCCAAGCGATCAACTGGCGTCTGAGCAAAGTAAAAGAACAAGCAAATATATGGCTGTACCAAAATGCCACCTTGGTAAATGGAGCCAAAGACTAAAACCCGCGTAACCCCAGCTACTGAATTTTGAGCCATACCCACATAAGTGGATCTCCGCGTCTTTTTTTTGGGGGGAACCCTCGCATGTGTGTTACTAGGGGAGCCCTGTAATGGCTTGTTTCCTTTTGCTTTTTGGGTCCCATCCCTGAGGTTTCCCTCACAAACCGCTTGCCTTTGCCCAAGCCCCGGGTTTGCAAAAGGGAGACGCTTTCGGAAGATGCTTTCAAGCCAACCCCCCTCCAAAAAGGAAAAGCGGCACTGCGTGGTGCCGCCTTGTCCAGGGTACCACCAAGAAGGGCCGCAAATTGTGACAACCCTCACATGGCATTCATTCCAAGTCCTACGGGTTATTCACGGGGATTGAGTGAACTTACCACCCGTTGCCATTCTTTCAGGATCAATTGCCAGGCCCTCTCCCCTTTTCACTGGATCTGTCGGCAAATCTTCGACTGGACATGGGGGAAATCCATGGCTTCTCTCTAATACAAAACGAAGCCTGCCTCCTGTGGATAAAGTGCACCTTTTCACTGGACCAGTGGGAGAATCTACACAAGCCTGCCTCAACAAAGTGGCAAGAAAAGGACATCATCTTACACCTGCCATTTGGTTTTTGGTTGCTCCCAAATGGAAGCAATTTGCTGCCCAACCACAGGATCCAACTCCATTATGCCCTTTTGATCATATTTGGGTTTGACTCAAAAAAAGCAACAATCCCAGCATCTTGGCTTCAATTACACGTCTGCGTATTCAACGACTCATTCAAATGTTGCCCAGGTGTCCTCTCTATCTGCCCCTCTGATCATACTTGGGATTGTCTCAAAACAGGAAAACCCCAAGGTGTCCCTTTCAATCCAACCAGAAGTGGACCCTTCAAGCCTTCAGCCTTCAGCTGCCGAGCTCCAGGCCCAGTCTCAGCTTCGGCCCGTCCCCTGGGGGAGATACCAAAGCGGGTAACTCGGTCCGAAACGAGTGCAACACGGGAGATGGCCTTTTTTTCAAAGGCGTCTGCGCTGTCGCTGTCCTTTCTTCTTGTTTCTCTTGTTGCTGCTTGCAGTTGGTGCCATGGGTACCCTTTGGCCAAATAGATGGCCTGCTAAAAGAATGAAACCCATCTAGACCAGTGCCATCGATTTCTAAGCAAATGAGCCTGAAAAGGACACCTACGGTGTTGCTGCACAATCAATCTTTGCATTGCCGCCGTGTCCCCCTGCCTTGGCTCCTCGCGCGCTGACCTGGCCAAGAACTCGTACCAGAGGTCGGCTGTTGTGCGGATGTGTCTTCTCTTATAATTCAATACCCTTTTGGGTTCAACGCTTGTTTAGGGAGACCAAACGAAAAAGAAAAACATCTTTCTTGCTGGCTCCCTTGGTCTGGGTCAAGATTCAGATCACTGTCCGTTTTTGCCAGTGACTGGTCTACTTTCCCGAGAAGGAAGTGACGTGAAGGGGGCATGATTGAAAAGCGACTTTCATTTGGGCGAATGGGGCTGATGCATCCTTTCTTCCGAGTGCCTTGGGATGGTGAGAAGTTACTGTTGTGTCGATCTTCCAGGGCACCCCCATGTTGGCACCAGTGGGCTTGTGCCACTCCATTGTTTCTGCGGAAATGTTGCTGTTTGTGAAGTCTCAGTCAGCCTTTACGTCCCTTTCCCGCCTCACTCTTGCGCCTCGAAAAGTAATACTGTTGACATAAGCATTGGGTCGGCGTGAGGCTTTGGACTTGTTTCGACTTGCAACTTGCAGGCATCAGAAACAATCCTGGTAGATGAATCAGTTCTCCGATTGCCGAGCCTACAGACATCTTGTTCCAGGTCGCAAATGACCTGGTTGCTCAGGAGCAAGCCTTTTTTTCAAAGTGCTTCTGTTTGAGTTAGCTTCTCACTGACCAATAGATAACGGAGAACAGAGATCAAAAGAGGCAGCCTGTTCTCCAAGGTTTGCGCGGCGATATTGCACTAGTTTGTTCAAACGGGCCAGCCTTGGACCCAGAAAGTTGGACCCCATTCTTGGGGATGAGGCTCCGAGTTTGGTCCCTTTGGTTTTCTGCGACTTCGGGGAAGACTTTCTGAAGGGAACAAGGACAAAAGCTTGAGTTCCACTTCCTGCCCATATCTGGACCCTTTTAGCAAGTCTGCGCTGTTTTGTGTTGCGCGCGTCTTCCTTAACGTTTGTCCCAGTTCTCACTTTGCCTGGAGCATTCTTCGAATTATCCATGCAACTGTGGTTTTTGTTCAGATGCCAGGCGCTTTCTATGACCTTTTCTGGGACAACCCCCGACTTTCCCTATATTGTTTTGGCGTATGACTGTTTTGTTGTGCAGACCTGAATGCAACCCGCCTCCTGCAACAACAGACCGGAGGGAAAACAAAAGCAAACGTGGAAAGGTTGCCACGGGTGGTTGCAATCACCCAAGGCAGGGGGGTTGGTTGATGCGTCAGCACTCGATGATTCGGTCACACCTGTGCTGGCTGTTTGTTTCCGCACTGATGGTTGTTGGCGAGACTTTCCTGCAGGCAGATTAAATGTTGGCATCTTCGCAGGTGTTTCTGTTGGTGTGTGTGTGTGTGTTTGGTTGCTCCGTTTGTGTTTTTGCACTCGCGTTTAAAACACTGTATATGACTCGACGCCAGCCAAGACCGGCATGGCAGAGGCGGGCAACGCGAAGCGTTTACAATAGATCTGCTTCACGTGCTCTAAACCTGCCCTAAACTGACCCACATCTATGTAAACCTTCCCTAAACCCACCCTAAGCGTAGAATTTAGGGTAGGTGTAGGGTAGGTTCAGGATTGGTTTAGGGTATAGGATAGCCTCGCATTTTGGGAAGGGTTAGGGTTGGCTTGGGCCAGTTTAGGATCGGTTTAGGGTAGGTTTAGATCGGGTTAGGGTAGGTGTAGGGCGGGGTTTAGTTAGGGTCGGCTTCCGGTGGGGTGTAAGGCAGGGGCGGGGGGGGGGGCCCTTTTTCAACAGAAGGGAACACAAAAACCACGACGCGAACCCCCCCGGCCTCCTCGCGCCAGCGGCTCAAAGGCCGGCGCCGCCGCCGGCTCTGGGAACGCCGCCATGGGCTCCGGGACCGCCTCCGGGAACGCCATGCGCTTTTCAATATGCAACAAGTTGAGGGCATTTGAAGGAAACCCCGAAAACAAAACATGCTATCAAAAGAAATAGCTCAAAACATGTTATCGAGACAAAACAAAGCTCGGCTGAAGCTGCGGTGCTCTTTTTTGTGCTCGGGCCCGACCGCAGCCCGGGAAGCAAACTACCGATCCAAGCCAGCGCACCGCCGGTTTTGCTTAGGATGCCGCTTTACCTGCGCAAAGATACAGCCACTCGTAGCTTCCGATGCAACAAGCTCTCCACGAAACCGGGAACCCCCCTGAAAAGTTTTCAACGACCCTGTCCTTGGTGTTTCAAGATCCACGAAACGTTTGCCTTGGTTCTCTCGTTTGCCTTCTGGCTTTCAAAGAACCAACGCAAAGAAAGTTCAGGCTTACGTGTTTAACATTCAACTGGGTCTTGTGGATTGCCTTTGCGCCTTTGAAAAGCGTTGTTGAACGCGGTCGTTGAATCCTTTTCATGATGCAAGCTGCCGAGTCGCGAGCTGCTGGGGGAAACTAAGTCCAACAACTTTTTAAGCTTCGAATTCTTCATCTGAGGACAGGAGTGGAAGAAGTTCGACGACACCTTGAATGCCTCCATGTGGCCCGCTGGCAAGGCAACTAAACGTCACACGGGAAGGATATGAAGTTCGCCCCATTCAAGTCAAGTCCTTATATAGGTTGAGGTGCCATTTTGCACCCCTGTCTCCCCAACTACGAAACACGTGGGCTTGAGTGCCTCTGTGCATTGCTTCTCTCTGCGACGGGCACTAGGGAACATGACCGGGCTGGGAGCCCTTTGAAAGATGTATCGTTTGCAAAACTGACCTGCGTTTGGAGCTACGAGTAAAGAGGCCGCATGCTGCAGCAATTGCTCCTGAAAAAGCTGCTAGTTTTGCGCTGCAACAAATTAATGTGCAACCAATGAATGATGCCTGTTCCACAAAGTTCCCTGTATGTGAATTAGGGTTTAGATCACATTTAATACTCTACCCTCAGCATTTTAGTGAAGTGCAAAATGCCGCCAAACTTTGACCCAGCCCAAGATCACGTTAAAGACCCTGGTTGTGCATGGTGCTCAATAGGGGCCGTGAAAAATAACAATCCTCAAACGCAACACACACACACACACTGTTTCCCAGTGACGACTGAATCCCGGGGTTCAAACCACCATTGAAACACAGGGGGCGAATACAACCGCCATGATTTTACACACGGAGTTTCATCATTCAAATTGGGTCCTTGAAAGCAAGGAACCCCAGGGTGAACCCACCAGTGACCCACCAGAGACTCGCTTAAGAAGAGTTGAACGTGGACCGTCAGGACTCCCCAGCTCCGGGTTTCATGGCAACCTGAGACCTGGGCTGTCCGTTTACAGAACCAGTAAACCAACTACCTGCAGCTTCAAACGACTAGAAACAAGTTGGTGTTTTGTTCAATGGACGCACCAGTAAACCAACTAAAAACAACTCAAAAGCCAAGTTGAACACGGCTGGTTCCGAACCGCCGCTGTGCGGTTGGGTCACACAAACTCCCTCGATTTGTTTTTATTATTATTATTATTTGTTTAATTGGGGGGGGCGCCGGAAAAGAAAAACAAAAGCAAAAAGGTCTCCGCCCTGGCCACTGCTTCCCCTTCTCTCTCGCGCGCCCCGGGCGTGCCTGGCGCTGGACGCTGGGCGCTCCATTCGCCCGAGCTTCTCGCGCCGAGCTCCCCGAGCCGCCGGAGCAGAGCCGCCAGCCGCTCATGTAGACCTCGGCTCGTCGGCCCGCCCGGCTCGCGTCGCGAGCTCGAGAAGCAACTCGTGTGGTCCCAAGAAATCGATTCACCTGGCCATGGCCATGGGTCACAACTCCAAAACCCATAACCCCTGGCCATGGGTCTAAACCCAGAAGTGGTTTGAGTGGTTACATCCCAATCCGAAAATGGGTTCGAGAATGGGTGGTGCACCGAAAACCCCGAAATGGGATCCCATTGGTTTTGACCCACAGCCACATCTGAAAAGAGAATGCTTGACTGCAAGGCACACCCTTGCCCACCAATGTGATTGATTCACTGGATCTTAGGGTTGGGTGGTTTCGGCTACCTTTCGGAAACTGTGCAGCACGGCCATGGGATCCGGGACAGTTACCAAATCATTCATGCACAAACCAGAAATACGGAAATACGAAATCCCCAAGCCGTAGTGTGTGTGTGTGTGTGTGCAAAAGAATGGGTATAGCTCATGTTTTCAGGCTTGACCGAGCCTGGCTGGGCAGATTTGAGGACAACGCAAAGGGAAGAAACCATTTGGAGGGGCTTGGATGGGTATTCCTCGAAAAAGGGCTGTCTGAAAATGAGACAATGAATGGCAAGTATCTATTTTGAGTGAGCCTCGCTCGCATTTGTTGGATTGCGCCAACAAAACGTGTTTCCGTTTGGGCTTTCCCTTTAAAACCCAAAGGAAAGGATGTCCAGCATTGCCCAGCAGTTAGTTCATGTCCGCTCGCGCTAGTATCCTTGCATTGTCCTGGCTGGGCCTTGCATATACCGCCCTTCTAGCACTAAGCTTGCGTATATGTTAGAGGGGGAGAGAATGCGTCTAGCTTAGTTCTACCACGCTCCAGCTTGTTTGTAGCACACTCGTTTCTAGCATAGTTCCTGAGTATGTCTATCTTAAGACAAATCTAGCTCCTTCAAACGATCTCCTACGTTGAAAGGGCAGTTCCCTTGTTTACCTACTAAAAGGTGAATAGTGTCTGACCAGCCATTTTACTACGTGTTTGCATGTGGTTCCCAGGGTTACATGCTACACAGGTAAATGGACTCACTGGGTGTGTCTTGCATTCTCCTAGCACATGTCGAGAATTTCCGGCACCGCGACACGCTCGAAGAACAGCGAGCAACTGCTGGTTTTCTTCTCGGGCGCAATGCGATCCAGCTCTGCAGACATGGATTTCGGGGCTGTTTGAGGCCAATCCCAGCAATCACTGGTTGTACGGGCTGACCTTGAGCCTTCTTTGCGGCCCTATAGGATGGGTTTGAATGGATAATCAAGCATACCCAAATCAAGCATGATGAGTAGTTGATTGCTTGGCAACCTCCCAACGACCAGCCTTGCTCATTGTTTGGAATGAGGTTATGGACCGCTTTTAAGCAACATGGGGACGTTCTTGTTGGGGGTGACCCTGCTTACCTTGGTTCAAAGGAAAACCAACATGAAATTTCCACTATTTCGGGGTCCCCCTTGTTTTGTCACAAGCCCAAAACAAGCCATGATCATAGGAACCTAATGCGTACAATGCTGACAAATCAGGAAACTGACATCTGGGACATTGAGAGGGGGGAGAAACAATCTGCACAGGAAGGGACCCGCAACTTTATTGGGAAGGCCATTGTTGGTGGAGCCCACCAAGCAAACAACTGTGCCCATGGAGATCCCTATCAACAGGAAAACATACAGGAGGCACCCCCTCCATACAGTGTTCCCTTGCATCCACAAAAGGACAAATATTGGAAGGGTCCTTCTTTTGGGGGGTCTCAGGGGTTTGGATATATACGTGGAGGCTCAGCCTGCCATCCCAAATCCGTGGCAAACCTCCATCGCAACGAATACCAAATCCGTTCGAACGGATCGCAACGGGGTTTCCCAAATCCCTTCAACAGACGGATGGGAAGGAGTCCAGGGATTGCCTTTGAACAGCCCAGATGTGCCGCTCGCAGCTTTCTCAGATCAACGAGGTTCAATCGAAGGGCCTGTCGGCTGGCAACCAGGGGTCGTCACTGGGGTCGTACCTCCACAGCTGCTCCGGTCCTTTGCCTTCCAGTCCTTTTCCCAGAGGTCCTTTGCCCTTCAACTGCCAGGGGTCATTCCAGAGAGGATCAAAGCAGGGCCAGCCCTTTGCGCTGGCAGGATGGTAGACCAGTGGACCTGGAGCAAAGCCTCTCCCGGCCTTTCCGTGCTTTCCTTTGTGCAACTCGCCCTTTGGGAAGGGCGAGGCTTTGCCCTTCACACCTTTGCCTTTGGCGCAGTCGGAACAATCCGACAGCTCGGAGTCGCAGTCGTAGCCGCCCTCCAGCCTTCGGACACGCTCCTGCAGCTGGACCACCTTCTTTTGCAGTCGGCCCACCTCCTCGTTTCAATGAACACCTTGGAGTTCTCAAAATACTGAAGATCCCCTTTTTGTTGGTATTTAAGGGGACTGTGTCGGTATTTAAGGGGACAAAGCCATTTTAGGGGGCCTGTCTGTGGCCCCTTACTCCGCTGGTTGTATCTCGCCTTGCCGCGATCGCCCTTGCAACAAAGGCTCAAGAAGAACACCTCTCTCTTCGCCCCCCGCGCCGACTCGGTAGCCAACTCGTGAGTTTCTGAGGCACAGCTTGCCAATTGCTTTACACCTTCGAGAAAGAAGCGCAGGTGGCATATCCCAACAGATCTGGAGCCTGGAACCCTCCGGAACCCTCTCTGAAAGCTCCCCAAACCACCCCCAACGAGCCTATCTGGGGAAAACGACCCCATAGCTTTCAGCGGGGGAAAAAAGAAGCCACAGGTCCCCAAGGGACAAAGCCCCTTGGTTGACGTTGGAAGGGGAGCAAAAATAAATAAGTTTTAGCAGGTCAGTGGTTGGATTAACCACTAAGCCACAATATGCAAAAATGCAAAATGTTGCCCAACAAGAACCATGTTTTTCACCAAGAAAATCAAACCGGCAAATACCCCACCGCGGCCATCTGAGATCATCTGTCCTCGGTCAAAGGCACAATGGCAGCCAGATGCTTCCCGACGTTGGACTCCAAATGCGCCTCATTTGGCAACAAAAGCTCCCCACAAAAGATCCCAGTCAGCTCTTGTCATATGGTCATACATGTTTCATCATCATTGCATGAATTACAATTATTCAACGTGGCACTACTATCTCTGGTGTGCCTCAATTCGGGAATCCCAATAGTCGCTCCCTCAAACAACCAAGTGAAGCACACTCATTTGGCGCTAAAATAAGCAGAGGTACACCGGTACAACAATTCCTCCGGCCTCCATGCCGTCTTTGCGCACTTTCTCGAAACAGATCTTGCACTGACAGAAATTGACCTCACACTCGCAAAGCTGGTGCTCCTCCAGAAAGTTGGCTCGCACCTCCATCCAGCACGCCTCACATTGCACCATACGCAGCGAGCAAACCTCGCGCACGTGGCTCTCCTTCGCTCGGAGGCTAAAGGACATGCCACACCCGCTCGGACAATCGATCTGCAGGTTCATGATCTCCTTGCGGTCCTACCAACAAGACTCAAGACGCACACACAGCAACTCTGAAAGCACATCTTGGGAGATAAAATGAGCGGAACTCTGTATGTATGCATGCCTGCATGAATGTATGCATGTATGGATGGATGAATGCATGTATGTGTGTATGCATGTATGCATGTATGAATGCATGTATGTGTGTATGCATGTATGCATGTATGTTTGTACGTATGTACGTATTTACGTATGTACATACGTACGTACGTATGTATGTATGTACGTATGTATGTATGTATGTATGTAGGTACCTGTGAAGCCAGTTGTGTCTCTTTGTTCAGTCTTTTCGAGAAAAAAACTGTCTTTTTCATGAAACGGCATTCTTCCAAACTTCGACCGTTTTTTGGAGTTTCGTGGGTGGAGTGCATCTTGGACAGCCAAACAAGGGCGGAAAAAAACCCGGAACAAAGGCGGAAACGGACGGAAAAAGGCGGAAAAATCCGGAAATCTTAGATGAGCCAGCTCACCTCTCCACAAAAAAAGACCTTCTTTCCAAACAACGATATTTGTTGTTTTTTTCCGAACAACGACCAAAAATTAGTGTGCTTTGCTCGAAGGCATTTTTTCGCACACATGGGCTTCGCAGGTATGTATGTAGGTATGTAATGTAATGTAATGTAATGCAATGCAATGCAATGCAATGCAATGCAATGCAATGCAATGCAATGCAATGCAGTGTAGTGTAAATGTAATGTACATGTAATGTAATGTAATGTAATGTAATGCAGTGCGTGCGTGCGTGCGTGGGTGTGTGTGTGTGTTTGTTGTATCTATGTATGTATGTATGTATGTATGTATGTATGTATGTATGTATGTATGTCTGTCTGTCTGTATGTATGTATGTATGTATGTATGCATGCATGCATGCATGCACACAAATTCTGCAACACATCCGAAAGGATATGAGACAGCATCAAACATACTTGTGTGGGTGTGTCCCGTATCGTTTTTGGACAACAACACACCAACACAACTTCGTCCTCCTGAAAAAAACAACGTAGTTTCCGCCTTTGACTGGATATTCGGGAAATCGTAGCACTTTTTGCTGCAAAAACCTGAAACTCCAAAAACTCCTAAAAAGCACACTATTGCAATGCTCGCGGCCTTTGACAGGTTAAAAGAAGCTTGGCAGGGTAAACGACTTAAAGCAGCGCGAAAGTTTGTCAACACATGCAACGGCGGTCCAAAGTTGGTGCAGAAAAAGCGTACCCATTTTGACCGCAAAACGCCCGCACATGTCCGCAAATCTCCCGCAACAACCCGCAAACTCCCGCAAATCAGAACAAGTCGTAGTTTTGATGATCAAGGCATCCCATGGGGTTCACTGGCACGTTGGCAAGTGCTGCGAGGTGTATTTACTTTGTATGGCCAATGCACGACTGGAAACGACGCAATTCGTATGTGTTTTTGCCCAAATTGTAGCTAAACCACTGGAATTCGGTAAATCGTAGGGGTCTCCTGAAACACCCAGAAATTTCCCGGAGTTTGAAGGTACATAAAGTAAATGACGGTAATTTTGAAGCTGATGCATATAGGCAAAGTGACATAGTTCACAAACCGATACGGAATCCAAGGGATCTTCTTGAAGCTCAATTCATCCCCAAGTGAGATTGTCGCTTGTGTCAAAAGGACACTCGTTAAACTAACGGGTGCTGCGAGGACACCGGCTATTGGTCAGCAGAGGTCATGGCTAAAGCATATTCTTGACTGGCGGCAATGGCTTGGCGAGAACAAGCGCATCCTCTACTATGGATGGACAAAATCCATTTCGCACCACCTAAGAAACCCTCGAATGGTATGATCCCCCTGTAAATACCAACAAACAATGGTGTTTTCTAAGGTCTCTTACGTGGTGCAGGATTTCGCCCATTCACAGTACTGGTTAATTCCAAATGGACCCAAGGAAAAAAAGGCACCACGAGCCCGTCAGGAGCTCACCACTCAAGGAACCATCCGCTCCTTGTGCGCTGCGTCAGCTCTCGCCGTGCCTCGCCGGCAATGTGGACACTTGTCCTCAAGGTGCCAACCACTTGTTTGTGCATTCCCAGACAATCCATGTAGGTACTATATATATCCACATTTGACTCCAAATGGGTCAAATGTTGGTTAATATTACCTCCATGGATTGTTTGAGGTTTGAACATGTGGGTGCCTCGTCTTTTGTGGAGGACCCCTTCCCGATTGATTCCCCTTTCAAGCATCCAAAAAAAGGTACCCTCCAAAAAAAGACACCCATTTGTTCTTTTAATCGCATCCTTGTTTCCCTTTGACAGGGGAGCATACGGGTTGTGCGAACCAAATTTTGCCCAATCCTCGCGCTGCTGGCACTTGTTCCAGCAACCTTGGCACAGTAGCTCGCCACAGCAGGCCGTAGCCAGCGCATCCCGACACACGCTGTGGCAAACCAGGCATTGGTATCTGCCCGAGTCTTCGGGATGCTTCCACCTCTCGTCATGTCCGCCATCATGCCCATCATTCTCATGTTGGACATGGAAGGGCGGACCACCCATGTGCAGAAGCTCCCCACTCCAGATATTGCCCCCGATGTCCATCCCGCAAACAGCAAACAGCAAACAGCAAGAGGACTGCAAGGGACTTGAGCAGCTGCCCTGCGGCAAAAGCAAAGATGTTGTGCTCATCAAGAGCATTCTTTGGAAACGTGAGCAGCTCGCATGGATCACCTCAACATGTTCAATAACCAAAGAGCAACCACACATCTGCGACATGAACATGCTTCAAGTGCAGGGCGGCACTAAAGGTACGCTTACGTTTGCTGGCTTGCTTCAAGTCATTGGTTCCCTAGTCACTGGAGGTCTAGGATATGAGACTGAGACACGGTCAAGCTGACTTGCCTCCCCAGGGAGTCCCTGGCTTTTGTGGAAAACTTAGACAAAATGGATCCACATGCGACTGACCGAACCTCAAAATACTCCCCTACAAATAGATTGACATGGAACCAAAAAACAATACTTTCTAGCGGAACCTGCTGTTGGGGAGGCCCCTTTTCGGGTTCCATATTAATTTGTAGGCCAGCCAAAGCAAAGCTAAAGGCAGCAAAAGCGGCGGTGAGAGCATCGGCAACCAGCTGATCCAAGCCGTCCCGATAGCCTGGCGACGGAGAGCATCTGGCTGTACCTAGAACCTTGCCCAGTGAGTCCAGTGAGTCTATCTCAGTTGCTTGGCTGGAATTAGGACCCCAGCAAAAAAGAATATCTTCTGCCCGGTTAGTGGAAAACAAAAGGACTTCCCCAAAAAGCAAAAAGGAAAAAAGAAAAAAAAGGGGAGCTAATTCTGGGAAAGGTTGGTGGATTGAGTTGGTGGCTTGGGGACTTGACCCCTTGTTCTTGAGGGTAGGGCCCTTGGGTTCCTGATCCCTGAGGGCTACAAGGGGGGTGGTTGTGAGCCCTAGGGTTTGTTTAGGGCTTTTCTCGGGCTCTTTAGACCCCCTTGGGGGTTCTATCTACTAAAAGCCAAGGACTTGAAACAATTCTACAAACATCACTTCATCAGATCATGATATGGGTGTCAGTTGTTCCTCTGAAATGTATGTGCATATATATATATATATAGAGGGGACCCTTTGCATTTCGGTGGGGACTCATGTCCACCAACCACTATCTGCGGTTGAAATGTGGGTGTGCCGGAAAAATAGGGAAATGTGGTGTTGTCTGTGTGGGTCTTCGAGGGTTTTTTTGAGGGGCTTCGTTTCAAGGGAAAGAGACAAGGCCCTGCTGTGACACATACCCATCCATGTGGAACGGAACCCTAAGCATGGGCTGCTTCCCTTGGGATTCCCCAAACAAACCGCAAAAGCACGTGACCCTTCCATTTGCTTTGCTTAAGTCCCCCGCAAAACAGTGAGAACATAATAGAGTCCCTTTAATACCAGTGGGGGAAAATAAAAAATACTCTTGAGCAAACGCAAGGACCCTGATGCACGATGCAATTGCGGCATGTCCAAGGCTCAAGGCTCACTGGTCCCAACATGTGCGATGGCCAAAACCCAGCACCACCGTGCATCATCCGGCATTTCTTGTGGCTGGACGAAATCCATCCTAAAGACCTTTTAGGAACATTTGTCCATTCAGCTCTTGTCCTGACTTGACCCTCTCTCTTCATCCCGCCCCTTCATGCCTCACAGAGAAGACTGAGGCGGATGGGGAGAGGAAAGAGAGGCTGAAGGTTGAGGGCGCGCTCGCAAATCGTTCTCTGAGTTCAACCGCCAATCAAGGAAGCTCTTGCTCTTGGGATTGCCCCGCCATGAAACCCTTGATTAAGACATGCGGTTGCGGTGTGCGAAAGCAAAAAAAGCTTAACCGCAATCTCAGACGCAGGAACGGGATGAGGTTAGCTTCTCCCATTTCCTTATCCAACCCCATTCAGGAATCTTGAAAATTGGGTGAGATGGAACTGGAGAAAGCATTGGATGGAAAGGAATGGGAAAGGATATTATTGTCCTTAACACCCTTCTATTTCTATTTGATGGTGAGAGACGCACCCCTTTCCTATCCTCTTCACATCTCCCTTTTTACAACAAGTAACAAGATAGTGGAAAGGGTGACGCTGAACAAGATAGAGAGAGAGAGAGAGAGATACACACACACACTTACACTCACTCCCTCGCCACCGATCCACTCCCAAGCCTATCAACCATCAACAGTGGATAGGTGAGGGAGAGACAGCGAGCGTTGGGGAGGGCTGGGAAGAGAAGACAGAGCTGCATCCCCTCAGTCCACCTCCATTCACTCTTCCACTCTCACTTCTAGGATATTTGAAAGCGAGGAACGGGGATGAAGAAAACAAGGGATTTACATTTCTTGACATTTATTTCGCAAAATTATCGTTCCACAATTAACAAAACGGTTTGAGAATTGAGGAACCAACCATGTCCATCAATTCCCTAGCCCCGGAGTGAGAGGCTTCATGGCGCGCGAAAGGAAATGCAAAGGTTAACCGCTATCCCAGACGTAGGAAAGCGAGCGAGCGAAGGGAATGGACTCGCTCTTCCTTGTCCTCTTCCCTTGCCAATTGCTTCTGCGAGGGAGGAAGAGGGGAAGAGGAGATGGGACATGAGCTCGCTTTCATTATCTCATCTTATCCTTTCGTCTCTTCATACTATTCCCTCATCAACTTGCATTAGATTAAAGGGAACAGCATGACGAAGTCAAGGGCTTTTTAACTGCGGGCTAACCGTCCCCCGCTTCCCGCTCTCCACCACCTGTCAGCTCGCGGAATCGCATGCTAGGTAGGTGAACGGAGAGAAAGAGTGGATATGCGAGAGAAAGCGATGGGATAGAGAGACGGGAGAGAGTGGGATTAGGAATGAACCATTGCCCGCTCTCATCTCTCCATCACACACCACCCCTTTCTCTTCATACTCTTTCCCTTCCTTCTTTTACCCACAGACTACCAACTATGGAAGGAAGGGTAGGGATAGAAGAAGGGAATGGGATCCCCCCCCCCCGCTTCCCTCTCTATTTGTCTCGCCTCTTAAGCATGGACAAGGCGAAGTTGGTCAGGGATGGGATCCCCGAGCTATGCCATAAGATATGAATGGAGGCGGGGCAATAATTCCTTTACTACTATTCATCTCTTTATCTGTTACCTGTCACCCCCTCTTCACCCTCCAGTCTCAATTCCTAGCAACCTAAGGTGACGGGTGAAGGGATAAATAGATGAGAGAGAGAGATAAGTGAGTGAATGTTTGTGAGGGACATAATGCCTCTTGGATGGTTTCGTTTTTCCTTGACAGTTAGTGTTCAATAATTATTGGTCTAGACGGTTATCTGTGAAATCCTTGGTTGCTTTTCAACACATCTTCTTGTTCATTGTCTCAGTTTGGAAGGGCTTCCCATTCTCTCGTCGTACATTTTGGAAAGTTTCTCATAGAGAAACAACAAAAGATTTGTTATAAGATCTCAGAATATGGGATTGTTAACAGGAGTTACAAGCATAAAGATGACATTGCATACTGAGAAAAAGACCATAGTAAAAAGAAAAGCCAAATATTCTAATGATACAACTGAAAAGAAAGGAAGTCTAGTATTGTCGTGCTAAATATTTTCGTTCTACTACTCACGAAATCTTATGATTTGCGTGTCGAAGAATATTTTTCAGGAATTGCATGGTTTTTTACTTTTTCCCTGGCCCCCTCTTAGGTTTATAATTATGTAACATGAGGAGTTAATTCAGCATATGCTAGCATTGTCTTGTTAATTAGGGAAATATTGTGGATGGCGTTCACGCTATCTATCCCAGACGTAGGAAAGCGAGTGGGCGAAGGGAATGGACTCGCTCTTCCTTGTCCTCTTCCCTTGCCAATTGCTTCGGCGAGGGAGGAAGAGGGGCTCGCTTTCATTATCTCATCTCATCCTTTCGTCTCTTCATACCATTCCCTCATCAACTTGCATTAGATTAAAGAGAACAGGATGACGAAGCCAAGGGCTTTTTAACTCTTTCACCCACCAACATCTTGTCTACATGTGACTGCGGGCTAACCGTCCGCTTCCCTCTCTCCACCACCTGTCAGCTCGTGGAGTCGCATGCTAGGTAAATGAACGGAGAGAAAGAATGGATATGCGAGAGCAAGCGATGGGGGATAGTGGGATTAGGAATGGACCATTGCCCACTCTTTCCCTTCCTTAGACGACCGGGTAGGAGAAGAAGGGAATGGGATGGGATTCCCTCTCTACTTGTCTCGGACGAGGCGAAGTTGGTCAGGGATGGGACCCCCGGGAGCTATGCCATAAGGCGGGGCAATTCCTTTGCTACCACCCATCTCTTTATCTCCTACCTGTCACCCCCTTCACCCTCCATTCTCACTTCCTAGCAACCTAAAGTGACGGGTGAAGGGACAAAGAGATGAGACAAAGATAAGTGAGTGAGAGAAATCATGCTTCTTGGATGGGGTCAATATTTCTTGGGTATAGACGGTTATCTGTAAAACCCTGAGTTTTATTAACTGTGGAAGGAAGGGTGGGGAAAGAAGACGGGAATGGTCGGGTACGTTTTCGGTTCTAGAGGGAAGCCATTTGCCGTGTGACTCGATCACCGCACTCGAGCCGCGGACGCGAGCGCCCAACCCGAATAGTCAGAGACCCCCCTCGGGTTTAAATGTGTGTGCGTGTGTGCGAGACCAAGAGAGAAACATGGAGTGATTGATTAGAATTCTTGAAATTCCGAGACTTAATTCTAAGAATTATTGCACGTGCGTTGCTTTGAAACATGGGGAGCGTGTCCTGGAGGTTAGAGCACGATCCGTGCGAGCAGGGGGGCAAGGAATCGATTCTTAAAACTCCTGGAAATAATTCCAATAATTCTCAGAATTCCAATTAAAATTATTGGAATTAATATGATTCGAATATTTCAATTAATTCTGGGAATTCTATCAATTCCAATTCGAATTATTCTAATTCTTAGAACTCATTCTAGGAATTCTAATAATTCCAATTGGAACTTATCAAATTCTTAGAACTACTTTAAAAAATGAATAATCAAAAAAGAATTATTAGAATTCTTGGAATTCTTGCCTGGCCAGCATTCCCTGGCAATTCTGTGTCTAGAATTTTTGGAATTAATAGACTCCTAGAAATAATTCCAATAATTCTAATT